GACAATTATCCGCACTTAGCGTTTCATGACTTTGAATTCGATTATCGTTAATTCAATGACAATGCCGAACGGAGGTGGAAAAGTTTGCGCGACCGAGAGCGCGATTCAACTGACAAAGAAAAACGATTCATGATCGGTATGACTAACACGCACAACGACGGCAACGAAACGTAGAAATGATACTCATTTATCGCGAGATATGACTCTTTTGTTAACGTCAAAATGACTGTAATTGATTGCCAGAAAATTGAACTGTACATTGCGGAAGGGAGTTAATGACTGATTAGAAATTTTTAATGTTAAAAGTGTCGATTATTAGGTCATGAAATGATCTTTGGACAATTAGATTTTATGGGTCTTAAATATTATTGCAATCTGTATCAGATAATTTAAAAAATAATTTTCATACGCTTTCTGAAAATCTTTGTGTAACCTGGAATACGATCTAAATGACAAAGAAAAGATTTCACGATTCAAATGATGCATCAAAGGTAGAGACGATAGTTGTTAGAAATATTAGCCCGAAGCCTTTGATTTTTAAAAGAACTGCGCTCTTTCGAGGTTATGGGGTTAAGTGCCGTGCAGTTGATCGGATCCGTGGCCAGATCCTCTAGGAACAATGTCCTTATTCTTAAGGCAATTTTCACTCATTTGTTTCATATAAACAATCATCCCCAACTTTCGCTCATTTGTTTCACATAAACAAACCGTTATCGATAGCCGAAGGACCCAGATTTCTTTAGTCCCATCCCATGCACCCTCTTTGAACGCATTCTAGAAACGCACGCGTTCTAGAAACACTATCATAAATTCTCCCATGGTCAATGAGTGACAGACACACTTCAAACCAGGGACTTCTACCGAAACGTAAAAAATACCGGTATTTCAAGATCGTACCGGTTTAAGTCCTTGCTTAAAACACGTTGACGCTAACATAGTACAGTCTCCTCTCGATTATCGTCCCGAACTCGAGTTCACGCCGGGACAATAATCGTATTAGCAGAAATACTTCAGGTTCCACGGCCTCCCCCAATGGTGGGGATAATGCCTGGACAATAAACGTGTAGACCAAGCCAGACAATAATCGAGAGCAGTCTGTACCCAGGCATTCTGACTGTTTTGACGGTCCTAGTGTCAAAAACTTGCGGTCATCGATAGATTAAGATCACTAACATCGTGGCGTTAATTCCCATCTCTCCAATCCCCAATTACGTCAGGATCGCATTCACGTATCACAACTGTATACACAGCCACTACACACACGGGCGCACATGATCAAGCACATTCCACATATGGTATATAACATCACAGCGATCCTACTCTGTCCGATCCATTTGTAAGTCACGTTTCGGTCACTGCGCGCATGACGATCGAAACAACACGACCGGCCCGGAACCGAGTAGTCACCTGTAGCGGTTCAAATCAACCGCGACGACGGCTGACCACGCACTGAATTAACCATCGGCCGGGGGCTGCGATTTATTAGCCTCCGCGGGACAAAAGGGTCCCCGCGTGAGAGAAACGAGAAATCGATAGGTAAGTTGGAAACGCGCTTAGAACGGTGAAACGATGACAGTATGTGATTGACCAACAGGCTTGGATAAATATGCAGAATCAACTCTTTTTTTTTACACGAAAGATACGTTCCTTAAAAAATCGTGTATAACTGTGCAAAAAAAAAAACGTACGTTGATTATAGTAAAATGGGAGATACGTTCAAAGTTATTAAAAAAACTGTGTAAGATGAAATAAAGAATATTTGCAATTTAATATTTTAGTTACATTACCAAAATAATAGTAGAAATTAACTTTCATTTATACATTTATATATTTCATTCACGAAACCGAACAATACAAATTTTGAAAAAAGCTTTTTTTTTTCTTCAAGCAAAATTTGTTTAAACTTTTTTCCAATTTTTGTTATGGTGAGTTTATAGCGCTTATTGTAACATTAAACTTCTGTTTGAAACATTTCTTCTAAGCTCTTGTATTTTAAGAGTTATACGCGAAAAAGTGGGAGTGCCTATGCGATTTTGAGGCCAAAAAGGCCACTTCACTTTACTTCAAAAATTTGTCGTCTTCGCACTGTGAATGTTTTGATTCGCGTGATTTCGCGCTACGAAGCGGAAAACCGTTGCACAAAGGAGAAATAGGTGTTCTAAGGGGGTGGAAAGGGGCTAACCGAGATGTTGGTCAGTCGAACATCTTTCGTTGACTGCCACCGAGGGAAACAATAATTGACCGCGGGCCAGCAACGATACCTGAGACCGTGTGTGGGCGATCCACGTGGACGGACCACCGTTTCCCATCCGTTCGCCAGGTGGTGGATGGGAACAAACGCAGAGAGCGGGGTCACAACGATTTACGCGCGAGCCTAAAACAGGCTGGGGTCTAGAGCAAATGGAGGATGATGCACGAGCGTCCCTACGATTAACCGTTCGGTAACGGTAAACTTTTGCCGGCCCGAAGGTGTGCCTAGCGGAGAATAACGTCATTGGGTTTTCGAGGATACGATTTGGAGAGTCCAGAACATTTATGACGCATCCAGGCGTTGAATGTTTGTCAGTGAATACAACACAGGTGGCAAATCTGTCCTTGAGGATTGACTGTTTGGTAACGATAACCTTTTCCTGCCCCGAAGCTGTACTACAGGAGTAACGTCACTAACTCTTCGAGGGTTTTAAATATTAGATACTAAAATCTAAGGTGCCACAATCAAGTGAAATCTGTCCTTGTGAATGAAGCTATTCCAATATCGAGCAATGTTCAGATTTATGATGGTCCTCGGTTTTTAAGATCGCTCGTAGATAATCAGACTTCGACTAGTGGAACTCGTTTGAAGCTGAACCGAATATGAAGTGGAAATAAACGGTAATAAAGGCGCCGCAATCAGAATTATCGTGTTGTTAACCACACGGGGACAAGGACAGTGCAAACAATTGCATGGATCGTTATCGGTGAGGTCCACCGTTCGTGGAAATTAACGATCCACAAGGAATATGAGCGTGTCACGTTCGTGGAGCCCCCTTTCACTCTGGAAGACTGAGAAAAAGTGGGAAAGCGTTTGTCTTTAAGTATCTCGCGTCGGTTCGACTTTAACCTAAAGACCACTTTTGCTTTGCACTGATTGTATTCATGTGACCGTAATGATTGTTAAATAAACATTTTAAAAAATGTGTGTAAACTTTATATCGTTTGCTGTTCTTTCACTGACCGAGTATGGCAGGTGATTACTCTGCTTGGAATTCGAGAAACGGACAGCTCGATGCTTCCAATCGTGTACTTCTATTTTTCCCATTATTCCGTCCGAGTTTCCAATATTATTAAGGTGTATATAGGTCGAGACTGCGGAATCGGCCAGATGTAACAATCGAATCACTTCCGAGCAATTGTTTGTACATCACCACTGTCGTTTTTCTAGTTTTCTGGTTTTTCGTTCTCTTCGAAGAAAACTGAGACTTCATGTAGCACGTTCAATCGATACACGATTAGAACACCGTTCTTGTAGAAACCGAAGCAGTCGATCACAGCAGAATATCTAATTCGCACTGAACACGAACAATTTTCTGGTTGTGCCTAAAATTGAGCACTCATTTCGTGCGTGGTTTTTATCGACGAAGGAAAACCAAGATAAGGACGAGTACATACTTGAAAGCAAGGTTTTGTCGTATCAACGAACTATCTGCAAGCTTCGGCATTTCCACGATCGATAAATGAATTCTCGAGGAATTTTTCGTTCCGTTTCAGAAGTAGGTCTTCGCTTGTTGCGCCGTGCAATAATGCTTTTACTTCGCTCCTTGAAATTCCCTGTCTGAACATCGAAAACGCCCCCTTGCAGCATCCTGGATTTAGTACTCGGTACTCGATAGTGGAAATATCACGAAAAATTCAGTATTCGGTATTTGAACCATGAAACTAAAAGAGTCGAATATTCAACATTCAGTATTCAGTATAGCCAATACACGATACTCGAGAACCTCCGATCAACAGGTAACCGATTCATCGATCTTAAACGATACTAACGGTATTCAGTATTCATTTTGTAATCTACGAATGATACATTTCCGCGTCTTTTAGCGAAACTTTAAACCTTTAAATAATAAATCGATATTGAATATTTACACGATACCGCTTTATCAGATTCAAAATTGGATCGGAGACAATTTAAAAAAAAAACACACACACACACACAAGAATAAAGATCTAAAAAAAAGCCATAAAATTGAATGAAAGTAACGAAATTATGTGACTAACCTAAATTCGATGGGAAACTCGGTCACATTGACGACAAATCGTGTGGTTCCATTCGGACGCGGTTTCAAATACATAAATATAAATAAGTAGGACAGCCCGCCTTTTCGGATAACAGCAGATGAATCGAGCTTGTAGGGTACTACGGGCGTCCTGTGCCAAATCACGGCTGCATCCCGCATTCCTCGCGGTTTTGTGAATCGTCTGATCGCGAAATTGGAAGGATCACTCCCCCAAATAATCCCGACACGCGTTCGTCTGTTAATCCGTTTCACGCATCAAATCGTTGCCAGCCAAATGTTACTGTGTCACCGTTAAACTAGCATCTTCCACCGATGATAATTGGCAACGCATTATACTTGTCCTCAAAATTCATGTACTTTCCAGCTTCCACTTCTTTTTTGTTCGCTTTCGATGTAATTAAATCGAACAACTACCTCCTAACACACGTTTCTGTGTCGCAAAAAAAGCGATATAAACATGGTGCATGAGATAAACGAAACACCCTAGAGAACTGAATATCCAAATATTTTCCTGGTGGTTAGCAAAAACTGTTAATGATATGACGGGTAATCAAAATTTTACTAATATCTCCACCGAAACATCTTTCTATCGCGTATTGTGTTGAGTTAATTATAACCCTCAAATTGTATTCAATGTAGATTCGTAATGGCGCGAAACACTGATTTGAACGGTCATTGATGCCGGGAACGTGAAGGCTCGTTCATTGTTAATTAAGAATTATTTACCCAATTCGAGTCCGAATCGAACGTCAACCACATCCTCGGATCCGGCAGCCATGAGTTCATATTGATCAATGATTTGTAAATGTAACATTTGTCCGTGAAATTAACTTTGAACACTATCCTTTCGAGCGTATTCGAACGTTGTCACCAACGAAAGTTTCGTTTGTAACTGACCGAAGGAACTGTACCTCCGGTCATGTTTACACGAGAAAGCGACCAATTCGATCCTTCGATACCTCTCTGCCCACGAACTCGAGACTTAATCGATCTATTACAGTGAATTAAGCGCCGAGTGTTCGTAATAGGCTTTATGTCCCATACAACCCGTTTTTGAAATTTACCTACGACCTAATTCGCAACCGTGTCACTTCTCGGCATAATATAGTTAATAATCGATTACCGAAAAAATAATTTTATGTTGAAATAAATAAAATAGTACCTACGTGCTGATGTATCAGCTTCTGTGTATTTTTCGAAATTACTTTCATCTGACGCGGTTGCTTTTTGGAAAATTAGGAATCGTTATGTACTTTTTAACAGAAAAAATATTCAATAAACAAAACTATTATTCCTAAATTATCGACCCCTTCTATGATTCTAAACTAACTTTCGAGATTAATAGAGTATAAACTTCAACGAATTTTTAAAAGGAACGTTAAAATTCTGTTGTATTCGTGTGTAAGAAATGTATGTTACTCGTTGCGTTTACAATGAACGTCAAATTAAAAAAAAATATTCCTACGTGATGATGGAACGATAATACGATCGATGGGCATTGCATACTAATGAGATAACATCAATATCTTTCTTAAAATCGTACAATTCGAAACTTAACCATTGCTGACAAATAGGTATTCATAAAGGAACAGTTAATTTAATTGTTTTCTCCTGTTTAAAATTCAATCTCATTATAGAGTTACCTATAGTTATTTGATCGAAGTTTTAGAGGTTAATGCCTTAAAATACAGGAACAGATAACACGAAGGATTTTTTACGTCGTGTCAACTACAGATAAAAGAACGAAGTCATAACTTGAAATACTGAATTACGCTTGTTAGTTGTCAATAAATTACCAACAAACAAACAATCGCTGTGATCCGTCGATTTCACTTACCAATTAAACAAAAGATTGTCTCCTCCGGGTGTCCGTTGTCGTCATGTATAATAAAGCTGTCGTTCTTCCTAAACCGAAAGACAAAAATTCAATCACTTGTAATACGATCGATTAGCTCAAAAAATTAATCCAACACAAGCAATTTGTCCCTCAAAGATTTTACTTTCATAACAATTACTCATTCCTCTTTAAAACTACATAAAATAACGTAAAAAGAGCAATCCCTGTTGAACATTCGAAACAAAGGAAAGATAATAAAGACTTTAACCAAAACCGGAAATGAATCAAAGAAACAACAGCATGTAATTATAACTATTAAAATTCTTGACACAATTAATAAAAACAATTAAAGTATTCTACTTTCTTGATTATACATACACTTCTATTACGAGACACGACAAATTCCTCTTAAATGATTTGATTTCTTTGAAACGATGTACGATTCTACAGGACTCGAGGAAAGTTTTTTGTTGCGAGAATTCTAACCTCACCTGAGAGAGTGCAATTATTTCAATGATCTGTAAACCCGTCACTCGTCAACACGTACAGCACGAGCGCGGATTAGAAGCACCATTTTCTGTTGAATCGCGAATCGCATCGTGTTCAACGAACGATTTAATAATGACGGACAGTCACACGATAAATCGTAACACAAAAATGTATCTCGCTTTCTTTTGCTTGATCTACGAAGCGTCATCCACTAGTTAGCGCCACAGCAGCGAACAGCTGATTTCTCATGCACGTGCGCTATGTGTCAGCGTCTGAACACCAAACTACTTGTACCGAAATGTGCACTGTACCTCGAACATTTCTGTAATCTAATAATACTGAGAACATACGTTATCAATATTATTGATTTACTACAATGTAAAATAAATACTGTAAGAACTGTTATGTGTTATTATGTCGATATAAAAACTGTACAATAAATTCACGTGATCGATCCTTATTAAACGTTTCTCTCGCTCTTACGTATAAGTAAACACGATGTAGAAGTTCAAAATTTGTTTTTGTCTTTTTCTATGTATTAGTTTTTGCTGACAGGCCTCTAAATCATGTTGTGTACATATACCTATTTAACTGATCTAATAACACCACTGTTATTCTATTTTTCTTAATAGTCTGAACAAGATTTTATTATTAACATTATAAAATTAGATTTTCTATCCTATCTTTCCAATGTTTAAGATCTCTATCATTATTGTATATTCTTACTACCACCACGCCAAATTTAATAGAAAAATAGAAACGAAATTGATAATACATTTCTTGTATTATTCAGTACGCAGAAATTTCATTTCAGTATTAATAATTTTGTACTAACCTTATTATATATGATTGTTTTTTTCGAACAGTTTCGTTCTTTACTGTTACGAGAGTTGTACTTCTTACACATCAATCTTTCCACTATAAATATTATTGTATTTACACGTTCACCTTGAAAACTTATACAAATTCAATTCACTTTATAATGTATATATCCAGGTTTACTCGTAAGAAGGATAAATAAATCATTATAAGGAAAAATACGAAAGTGGTGAGCAAATGCTCAAATATATTTTATTAAGGACAATAAATTTATACAGTATGTTTTAAGCGATACTGCTAGCATTGGATGCAATTCTGGGCCATAAATCTGCACATTCTTTTGCGACAGGTCCTGTAATAGCTGATCCTTTCATTTCACCCTTATTATTTACTATAACACCTGCATTGTCCTCAAAGTATATGAACACACCATCCTTCCTCCTAAATGGTTTCCGTTGCCTTATTACCACTGCAGGCATCACTATAAAAAGTACTTGTTAATGTTACAGGAACAGTTGATCCTTCACATAGGATAAGTTATTTTTGAATAAGTGAAACATTTTACATGATTATGTATGTAAGAAATATCATATACAAAACTGGAGTTCCAGACTGAGAAGGTAGAAATGATAAGTTTCTTTTTGAATAAAAAAAATACTTACCCTTTTTTCTGAGTTCTGGTTTACCCTTCTTAACAGTGGCAACAATCATATCACCTGATCCTGCAGCTGGAAGGCGATTTAATCTGCCTTTAATTCCTTGAACTGCGATGACATATAAATTTTTTGCACCTGTAAAAATAAATTTGACACTGAACACAAATACAAATGATAAAACATAACTGTATCAGTTATCCGGAATGTAATATTAGATTTTATATGTTCAAATTACATTTCTTTGTTCCTATAACAATTCAAAGAGACAAATCACCTATTATGTTTTGCTATAAAGAATTGATTGTAAAGTGCTAATAATTCGATAAGTTGTATTATCTCCACTTATATTAAACCATCGAATTATAAAGAACTTGTTCCTTCCGAATTACTCAAAATACTTAACAGAAAATAATTTATAACAGTGAATGACAATCACCAACCATGTGTTATTCTCAGCCATAACATGGCTACTTTTTTGAGGTTACATGATATTTATACTATTTTTTTTCCAATTACTTTCATGTTAATCGTTGATATTGATGGACACGTCTAACGCGGCGTTTGCTTCCAATACAGTCGTCGATTTTTCCAAGTTCCACCGATATTAATGAAAAATTATTCCTGTCGCTACATATCGCGAACATTCCTTTATTGTTTTCATCACTTATTTCAAATTGATACTTCATTTTCAGATGGATTTCCTTGGATTCTTATCCGTCCCGAAAACCGACTTACCTCTCTTCGACATCTTGGCGTGTTTGAAAGAGAAAGAAACTGCTGTTTACAGCGCACTAGTCCTTGCGCATATCATGCTGAACAGCTTCCGGCGCGGAAACACTTGCAACATTTAAACAACACAATTCACTTTCGAATAATGATAACAGACACATAATATATTTAATGCAATTTAGATTAATAAAGTAAAAAGTTATAAAGTAATAAATGATATAGTAACAGGCATATTACAACTATCTACCAATATACTACATTTTTATGTTTCATCTAATCTCATTTAATTGTATTTTTTTAGACAATTAAAATTTAATCAAAATGATATCAAAGTATGTTAATGTATACGAATATGATATTTACACAGTGTCTAGTTTCTCTAATTTTTAAATTCTAAATATACAAGATATTTTGTAAGGGATATATTCTTAATTGCTTTATTACATTCAATATATAAATATTGAATCAGAGTGATTTGTAAAATATTTACTATATTATGTAAAATATTATTCTTTTCTGCAACAAATACACACATTAAAGTATAGAAATATTATATTTTAATTGGAAGTTATTATAAACTATAAAAGATGTGTGATGTATGGGATGTATAAGTGTATATAAGTAAATATATATACATGTATATATATATACTTGATTCAGAGCTGGTGATCCAGAAGATAATCAGATAGAAGAGTACTTGCGGGTACCTGCTCACCGAAACTAATATAGCTATCAATAGCTATTTAATATTGTCTATTATTATTTACCATAAAGAAAGTTGTAATAAAATCCCCTTTTACTTCCGACACTCTCTTGTTCTGTCATTCGTGGGAGTTTGAGGCCAAAGAACAACAATAAAATTTTGTACCGTTATTGACATCATATTTAATACAAGAAAAATGCCAAGTGATCTATTAGAGGATATAACTATGGAATTGGGAGGTAATTCGTAATTTGACTTCGTTAAGTATATTTTGCATGTTCCTCACTTGCACGAAACTTAACCTTCATATATTTAGTAATATGTAATCCTAAGTTATTTATTTTTTTTATATGTCCATACATAAGAACCGAATATTTACAAATAAAACTTTTATGAATTAATAGTATACATTTTTGTACATCATTTGCATATTGTTGTAGTCAGGGGGATGGTTATATGTTAATAAAGTTTATCCATTTTTTCTTTTATTAAACATTGCATAAATTCTTTTTTTTTTTTATTTAGCCAAGGAGACATGGCCTGTAAATGTACCTATTCCTTTATATCAACCGTTCCAAGTGGAACAGATGCTATTGCCCGACAGTGCAAATTCTTTGGCTGTACAAGCATTTCTTAAAATGTGTGGCTACAAATTTGACATAATCTCAAGATATAATGCTGAATATATGTCTCCTACTGGTCGAGTACCGTTCATCAAATGTGGAGATCGTATAGAATCTGAATTTGATAGAATTGTATCATTTATAGAAAGCAATGGTGTTAGTTTATCAAAAAATTTGTCTACAGCCAGCAAAGCAGATATGAGGGCTTATATGTCATTGGTTAATAATGTACTTGTAAATGCTGAATTATACATTTGTTGGGTTGACGAAGTAACCCTGAACCAAGATACTAAACAAAGACATGGACACGTATATCCTTGGCCTTTGAATCATTATCTGAACTGGCAAAAAAGGAATGAAGTTATAAAGAAACTGAACGTACTTGGCTGGTATAATAAGAGCATAGAAGAAGTATGTAACGAAGTTGAAACTTGTTGTAAAGCATTATCTGACAGATTGGGTGGTAATGAATATTTCTCTAGGGGCGAGTAAGTATAAACTAGCAATATTGAAATTTTATTTATGTTTTAAACAAGATTTGACAAACCATTATGTGAACCTCTAACATTTAATATTTAATTCAAAGAAAAATGCATTTTACTTTTTACCATTTTATTTATGTGCTTTTGAATTTAAAAGGATTACCGAAGTAGATGCCCTGGTATTTGGTCATATCTATACCCTAATCAATTCTGACCTTTGCCCGACCGTACAAAATATTGCAACAACTATAAAACAATTTCCAATGCTCATTAAATATATAACAAAAATAAGAAATAACTATTTCAAGGATACTTTGATTGAAGATTTTGAAATTATCGAGACCCCTTCCAAAGATACCCTGTGGAATTGTTCTGAATCCCTTGAATCGCTACCACCATTTTCAGACGATTCCTATGAATTTAAATTCTTGAAGGTTTATTACATTTGTTATTTTGTTAAGAACTTTGTACAAATATATGAAGTATATACATATATTTGTATTGTTTGGTATTCATTTGTTCACTTGACTAATTCATAATTGATCACTTTGTTGTTTAATTATATTTAGGACACCCAATGAATTAGATGCCTTAGTCTTTGGACATATTTTTATTATAATCACAACACATCTACCTCCTGATAACGTACTGGCGTCTATTGTCAAGAAATATACACTGCTTGTGAATCTCTGCAATCGCATTGAGACTAGGTATTTCAAGAAGCCAGAAGCTTAGATGGAATTACACTCGAACTTTAGATACATTGAGATCAGGTATACTGACGGCGTTGATATTAAGTTCCTGTGTTATGCTCGCGACCTTGGTACAAATGAAAATGTAAAGCCAGAATTGTGTAACATTCAATAAATTCCGAGAAATGAATGATTTATTTTGAACAATTATTTAGTTCAAAATTATTTTGGGAAAATACAATGATATATGTTATTGGAAGGTACAAATTATTGTAATAGTATTGTATGGTGCATACCATATATCCATACACATACATAAATACCTGATGACAAATTTTGCAACTGCAGCAAAAATAAGTATCAATGTGTCTGAAGTTCGAGTATGGTCGGATAGTAAATTGTATAGAAAAATAAGAAAGTATTGATAGTTAATTTGTTATAACAATTAACACTAGAACTACCACAGCAATCGAAACGATGACGAGTTCGTAAATTATTACAAAAGTAATTAAAATGCTATAACAATGTATTTCTTGAAATTTCTCAGAAATTTCATTGCAATATATAAATAAAAAGATTAATTAATTTATAAATATGTATTTTAATGAAACATTCAGAAAATTGTCATATTTGCAGATCTGATAGAAATATAGGTATGTGTTAATCGTCGGTAATTCTAGTGTTTAAGTAGAGAAAGTATATTAATGTTGAACATGAAATACCGTTGAATGTATTATTTTAAATATATAATACTGCACGTGACATTTTTCAGCATTTTTTCTCCCCAAGCAATAGAGGTGAAATAAAGTAAGAAAACATTGGAGGCGAGAAGTAAGTAATACTTCGGAGATTTCCAATGTACCTTTTTGGAAAACCGCAAGAGTTAAAAGATATCTAAACTAGATACTTTTCAGAATAATTTAACAGAAGTAATGGTAAATAATTATCAAATGATTATTGTCAGTTTTTTTCCTTTCAAGGATTATGTTCAACGTACCTGTTGTCAGCACCTATGTACTTCTGACTTAATTGAATCATACCGAAGAGTTATATGTAATATACAATTATTTCGATGTTAAGCACAATCAGAGAGCGTAAATCGACAATAAGTAATCTTTTAGTCATACATATTGTACATACAATCGTACTTTTAAAAATTATATTTAAAACAACGTTATAATGTATTATAAAATACTTTCCAATTTAAATTAAATATAAGTTATTAAAATGTTTAAATGCTTTTATATCGTACAAAATTCGATCCGAAAATAAATACTTAATATTGACGCAGGCTTGCATCACTATGTGTATATTTTTACAATTATTATATTAACAATAAGTCTGTTACATACTTCTTGTCTCCAGCGTTCCGTTATACAACACAGATTGTAATTGTCTTTACATTTTAATTAAATATCAACATTATCAAATGTTTGTGCACGAAATAAATTATAAAATTATTCTAATTTATTTAAAAACACCGGTGTCCAGTTTTTGTCAATGTATTATTGTAATGTGCAGCCATCTTATTAAACAAAAAATGTTTATCGTCTTAATGTAACAATTTACATCTAACTACATTTAATGTTCAATGATGAATAAATGAATTAATAATACAAACATTTGTTTCATACATAACAAGCATGTATTTACTTTGTATGATCTTCCTACTTTTATTATTTTTATTTTCTTGATAGCATCTATCGATAACAAATACGTCTGAAAGATACTATTACAACTCACACAGAAATCTAGTTTTTTTTATTCTAAACAGAAGTGTAAGCGGCTTGTGATTCGTTACTAATTAAAACTAAACACAGAAAAGTAACTGCATCTAATGAAAAATACATAGAGCAATTTGTAGTCATACAATTAAAACACTAAATCCATTTTCATTTTTATGTGATACACATACAAAATTAAAATTACCAGCTCGAGTAAACCTCGTTTTACATGATTCGTATAATATTTCTTTTGTGTATATTAAAGAAATTCAATAGAAGATATCCAATTAAACAAAAATTAGAGCACTCTTACAATTCCTCTGTAACAGGATCGATCTTACACATCTGTAAATTCGTGGCGTGAAACGTACATATGCGATCTTGAGGTATAGTAAGGACTACAAGATATAAATTCTCATGTTGTGTTTGTTCTGCTAAATTGTTTTGCATGGATGTTTTTGATATAGGTCTCCGTCTATGGATTACACGCAATTCTATAATTTTATTAGGTGTAGTTATAATGATATAATCGTCACACTCACGCTCATATACAGACACATACGTATCGTGTATTCATAACCATGGACATTACGAATATAAATATACATGCACTCAGTCTGCAATCTGAACTGATTTATACTTGTAGTGCTCAACTAAAGCTTCGACACTTATAGTTTTTAATACACTGATTAGGGGTAGTCAGCTGAGATCATATTCGCTATAATAACTAAGCTTGAATCGAAGACTTTGTTACCCTTTTGTGGGGAGATTTTTTGCAAGTATACGGATCTGCAATAAAGAGTAAAGAAAAATCGAAGTGACAAACAATAATTATACTAACTTATTCAGGATGTTGCTTTAAGAAAAAGCTGACGTTACTTGTGCAGACATGCTTGTCAAAACGTAAGAAAATTGAATTAGACAACTATAAATACAATGAATACGATCATTTTTTTTTGTACTGAAGGTACGAGCTCAGTATTTCCGTTTATGGATTTCCTGTTACATTGGGTATGATTCCCTCCTCACTATGTACGTACTATGTGTAGATGTAAAAACATTGTGAGAAACGGAAGATATTTGTGTTATAACTGGAAGTTCGCTCTATATTCATCTTTTATCTGTATTCTACAACTATATTTCGTTTCTATCGAATGAATCTTACTATTTTTTTTTGTTCTGTTAGATATTGCAATGATCTTATTTTGTGAGTCTTAGCTTTCTTCGGCTATTCTTACGATTAGATAAATGTGTAGTAAGTGCTTTGCGCTTTGCTATGTGTAACAGATTTAATTCATTTTACAACTGAACTACTGTTTATCTCACCAAAACTGAACTTGCTTTTAAATAAAGAGAGGACAGTTGTGCATACATACTGATTGTGTTTTTCTTCTTCGTATGCTCAGTATTTTTAATGAATACAAATGAGCTGATATTAACAATTTTTTTCAAAAGAATTTTGATTTTTTAATAAAAATTTGATTCAGACATCTCTCGATTTAATATTGCGTACAATGATATAATTTACATTTCTATTATTCGATTTCCGTAAAGTACGCATAAACTGAGAGACGTCTGTGATCTATTATAATTTTTACTGCTAGAGCACTTTAACATTGAATACTTGAACCAATTTTTCAATCATTTTAAATGAAAATAGTGTATACAATACAGATCGTACATATTTAATATAATGTGTAAGCCCTAGCAGTTAATATCGTTAAATCTTTATTGGTCTGTCTGTGAACTATAAAGATTCATTACCTATCATTTTAATTGATTGGTACCTGCCCAAAGTTTAATAGATATTGATTCTATTATCTACTATGATGCGTAGTTTTTAACAATACAATTTTATTGCATCGAGACATTGATTTTAAAATGCATTCTCGACGTTAAATTTACAAGATCAATATAAAAGGAATTATTCTTGCAGTGAAATTGTACATGAAACAAATACCAACAATGAACTATTGATAACAGTGTAACAAATGTATCATCAATATCTCATATTTCACTCGAAATCTTATGAGAATTATAACTGAATATCAATTTAAACTTCAAAAGTGACTGTTGTATTTTTGCTAGACATCTTTTCCATCGGACGTACTTACGAATAAGATTATTATTGCAAATTGTATAATTTTTTGGCGTGTATTATTGCACGCATTTTTAAGATATACATACATGTATAAGATACCTATGTAGACTGATACCTCCACATTAGTTTTGTGCTTACTACCCAAATTAATCTGGTGGTAAAAAACTAAAGAGTCGGAATTGTTCTCTAATACGTGGTCTAACATCCCCTCCCTGCAATATCAATTATATTTGGTTCATTATTATTAATATTTAAATATTAATCAAATCATTACAAATACTTACCCAGTTTACTAAGTTTTCTAAAAAAGGTAACAACTTCATTAGTTCATTGTCTGAACGGTCAGCGAACCAGCTCTCTATAGGGATACCATTTTCCAACTGCAATAAACAGATTTCGTAAGATTAACGAACAGTTTGTAAAATTTGAATTACTAGTTATTAACACTAACCTGATATCCAAATGCTTGTGGACTATTATCAATAATAACAGTTTTAGATAAATCTCTACCCAATATAGACAGATCCTTGATATAATTCCCATTAACGCAGACACAGTGTTCTCTGAATAGACGGTATTTAATCAATTTCCTTGTCGGATCTAATAGATTCATTAACTTGTTTGCGTAAACACGCTTGCTCGCGGTAAAAAGGATGACTTCGTACAATGATGAAACATGTTCTAAAAATTCACGGAAATACGGTCGTGTTCTGACAAATACTGTGTATGTTACATCTTGAAAGACTACTGGAAAACGGAACGCTGCATCCGAGAGTTCTTGTAGACTACAGTGAACTAACGTTTCATCCTGTTTAACAAAAACATATTTTTATATTTCTTTCTCCACATGTTTTGTGATATCCAAGGGAGTCTGTCAGTTCTGATATCTGATACTTCAGAAAATACACAACGAAAAAATGACCATTTCTCCTAGAATTCTGGACTGAAAGACTCCCTTGAAACTTTATGTTTTATTATTCTAAAATGGACGTACCAAATCTAATACTAGACTAAATTCTGGACTGCTGCGTGTTTTAAGTGGAAGAGCAGGACATCTAGCTCTCATCGCTGGGGTCAAAGGTGGTAAATGCTTGATGAAGACATAAGGATCAAACGGCTCCCAGTCTTCTTGAACATGTGTAACCATATTTTCTACATCGCAACTTTCTACTATTTCCTCGCCCCCAACTTCCATATATTCGACATCGTGATAGTCACTCTCAATATCCTCGGAGTCATATTTTTCCGTAACGTTTCCATTTGTGTCGGAGGAGTGATGATGATTTATATTATACATGGTGGTTGCATTATACTTCGTACTACTAAATCCTGGCTCGTATTTTGATGAATGACTATCAAGTGGATATTGATTTTTCGATAAACTACTGTTATTTTCATTATTGTTGCTAAGCGTGTATTTTCCGCTTGGAAAATACTTTTCTGTTGAGAACGAACGAGTTCCGTACATGGATGTAGAATGTATTAAACTGTAGCATTCGTCGGATGTCTCTGTTTGGATACAGGAAGCGGTGAAGTACAGCGAACTGGTATCTACAAGAAACGAAATATCATTCGATACACGGTCAAAAACGAATAATTGATTTTATATGACATTTTTATATATCTGTGTACCATTGTTCTTAGTTTCTTCATCATCCAATGCATACGAAAGGTCTGCATGCGATCCTACAGATGCTGGAGGCATTAGATTTGTCAGTGGTAATACACTTGGAATGGAAGGCTTAAAATCGTGTACAGTGGATATGGAGGAACTGCATGAATCTGTGTTTAATATTGATGAGTACAGAGATAAAATGGTTGTGTTCCAGTTTTCTTTAGATTCTTCAGAAACTTTCGACACTGTTGTGCATTTCGATGGCTAAAAACAATTGTAATTATTTTTTCTTTTAATCGTACAGAAAAATTTGATATTCATTATAACAAATCACTATGATTTATAACAACATACAGTAACTGCATCTTTCGCAGTCGTTCGATGTAATGGAGTTGAAGTAACCATTGACCGCTTTATGCATTTTCTTCTACGAGGTCCTCTCTCTCGTCTAATAGGCGCAGACTTCGCGAAATGTAAAACATTTTCTTTACAAGCCTACGAAGAACAATCGTTTTAACAAAACTGAATTGGTGTCTTTGTATTAACCAAATGGCTTCGATTGTAGGTCTAACAAATCTAATTGCACAACATCCTTGCGAGTTAGTCAGTCACAACCATTAATCGCTGATTAGTTAGGAAAGTATTTCGTTTTAAGAAACAGTGAAGCTTTGTTTTTAATAAATGACCTGCAAAGATCATTTATAATAAGCGAATAAACAGTAATACGATGATACTAAAGAAGAATGTACTATGTATAGGAAAGATGAATCATGTTTAAATGTTAACTGAAACTTCAATGCTCACCTCTTTCAAAAAATGTGTGCATCTACGTCTCCATCGTGTTAGCCTACTGCATTTATTAGGCGTGTTAATACGGTGATTACCATTACCCACAGATGGAAGTTTCCTCAGACCGTTCAGTTGTACTCTATGGTTGGAAATTTTTGATCTAGGTATACTGCTTATATTTAGGCGACCACGCAGTCTTCTACTAACATGTTCGCTTCGTAACCACATTTCAAAGAAATGTCTAAATTTCCTAAAAAGAAACACACAATCATAGTTATGCTGTTGAAACTAATGAAAAACACGATATCAAGTATTATTAGCTGGATCAATAAGTAATCCACTACATTTTTTTTTATTATAAAGCAATATATTTTGGTTTACAAACATTATTTTCCAGTGTAACAAATTCACTTAGTAAAAATTATGGAGAATCTTGGAATAACAATACGGTATTATTAATTAACAACTGGAACATTCATAAAATGAATAGAATACTTTAAGTACATTTGAGAATTAGAATCACATCTTTATCAACAGAAAGGTGTTGCAACTTTGCATATGTAATATATGTAAGTATACAGTAGAGACAAAAGTCTCTGTACATTATGATTGTGGGAATAATAAGAGCTATACTTTATATTAATGATTGCGTATAAATCCTTAAATTTATATATCATACACAATACACAGACTTTAACAATAAATATTCCAGAAAAAAATCAATTATACTATTTTATAATAATATGAAGCATACAAATACTTTCGTCCTTCATTATACATTCGTAAATTCTCTATTTCTTCCAGCAATTGTATGTATATGTTATACATTCTTCCAAAAGCATTGTAGTAAAATAAAAATTGACATATGTCACATTTTATATCAGGTCTATAACTTTTTATTCTCAATTCCAAAAGCATAGCAAGTAATAATAACAATACAAATTAGTACACTACATATTGTACAGTCAGTTATTTGACTAAAATAAAAATAACTGTGTCATTCCTAAACTTTTTTCGAAGTCAGTATAGTAAAATATGTAATAAAATTAAATGAAGTTTTTATTTCATTTTGGAGCCAGAAATGTTTGTACAAAATACTTCACGAGTAACTTATTTCTTTCTCAAATAATTGTAAATAAGTAATAAGATAAAATTATTTGAAAAACTGTCAAAACGTTTAGGTCCTGTATCATGGAAATTACGCGGGAAAGAAATTCGATCGCAGGTAAAAAGGGGCGTTCCTCGACCACAGTTCTTTGAAGAACCTGTATAAACGTATATACATACTCCCATACTCGAGCGTCATATACCAAGCGAAACACAAACACAAACGCGTGTACGCACACATACACGCTCCTGAGTATATATCGATTTATATGCAGTGTAATACCCGGTTACGTTTTCTAACGTTTTCAGGGAAACGGTCGTTTGTTCGTGCGCGAAACCAAGCAATCATAGAGAAATCGGAGAAAAATCGCGTCAAAGGAAAGGCCATATTCGATGGCTATTTCGCTTTACAGTCCCAGCATCGGATGGAAATCGATCGAGAGTTTGAAAGTGCAATGTTGCGCCGCGGTAGCGGCGGCGGCACCCAACAACAATTGTAACACCTGAAAATTCGCGCGAAAACTATTCGCCGGGTATAGACGGTGAATCAACACTCGGACTGATGCTATCGCTTACCATATCTCTCAAGTAACAGGCAGGCTCGTTAAACACAGAAATAAGTCGGCCACGTTATATTCACACGCGTCTCATTCAAATCCCTCGCTCGCGTTCACTTTTCATCCCCCCGAAACTAAACAATCATGGCTGCGGCGTCGCTCGAAAATACATAATGAATCAAACTCAACACTTCTTTATCGACACACTTTGCTGTATTGCGATATGGGGAAAATTTGTAAGAATTTATTTGTGATTCAATGTGAACAGTGCCGATTATGAAAACGAATATATTCTACGGCATCGTTCTTCCAGCAACTTGATTAACTTATAGAAGCTTTCCGGTTACTAATGCGACATCTATCTTTTAAAGAAGCTTTCGTTCAATTCTTACAATGGCGGCTTGCTCTGATTAAAAGAAATCGAATAAAGTACCATTCCGCGAATGTGTTATTTACAATATTACATATAAACGAAAATAAAATTTAATGTACTATTATTAGGAGACAGCTTTCTTATTTAAGTTGGAATAAATATTTTAGATCACGATCTTGAATTTTGTAGAATAAAGTACATATTGAGCATAATGCGACGATCTAACTGATGAACATACTTTGTAGGAACAAATAAAAATAATTAGACCATGAATTTTATGCATTGATAGCGTAGATGAGTGTTGAAAAATCATTACAGTAAATTGAAAGAGTTTAATGAAATTATTATGTTAAGTGTAACTCAATAAAACTGTTACTACAGTGGATAAATTTTTGTTTCATTCCAATTTTTGTAAATTAAGAAAAATTGATATTTGTATAAACATACATCCCCTAGTAATAAGAAACATTTATTTTTGAGAAATGGTTTTAGTACGCCTCAAAAAATCAGTGTATAAAAATCTGTTATTGTGTATTTACGAATCCTGAAAGTATATAGAAAAATCACGAAGCCCAAAAAACTTGTGAAGGCACGATTTCTATACAAAAATAGCAATAAATATTTAAGACTTTTATTGAATTTGCGTGTAGCTATTTACATCGTTATATCATAATTTCTTTTCAATATTATATCATTGTAAGAATAGCGAATAATAATTTTATATTATTTATAAAATCATCTTATACCGTATGCTCTATTAATCATGATTAGTTCAATATTTACAATATGTATTAGAAAAAGCCAAGTTGTACATCGACTATGTACAGCAGAGTGGCATGTGTATAAATTGTAATTGTTATTTAATTAGCACTTACGAATTATCTATATAACACAATTTTTGTATACTTGCTTCGACTTCTACTACATTTTATGTGTTATTTCATTCAAAACATGAGAAATCACATCGTGTTATGTAAGTTTCTGCGCTGTATAGATGGTAATGTTTAATTGCAAAAAAAAGAGAAAATTATATATGGTGTTTATTATCTCTAAATTCCACGTGTAGCATTTTTTGTTATCTAAAGACTTTTCGTTTTAATTAGGAAAGGCTTCAATTTCAAAGTTATTTTCATATAAGCATAGGTATGCGAAAGAATCGAAATTTCGTAAGCTTCAAGTAAACAACTAAAGTGATGCTTCTTTTGTACTTTAATCACTAATCTACGAATTGTAACTATGCATCTATAAAAATCTATTACAATTTACAAAATCAAAAACATTTTACACCATTAAAACAGCGATGATAATTAAATTCGATTAACTTTTTACATATAATAATAATAATAATAAAAAATGTATAAAGTCTGAATGAGACAAACGTTTTAGTGCGTGTCAAGGAAAAAACTACCAGCAGCAATTCATCTTGGAGTGCATTCGCCTTGTATAGTATACGCGGAAGTAAAAATTTTGTAACGAAATTTATTATACATGTAACCGTAGTCACAAGATGTTCACTACTTGTTTCTGTAGTAAACATCACTATTTCCGAGTTAGAAGTAAAGAATGTAGTGGTCAAACACCGTTCGATGTTGTGGAATTTTGAACCGGTGGCCTCAATAGATCATGGTATTGCAGCAAAGCTTCGCGTAAAGATCTTGAAACTTGACCCGATGCGGTAGCAATTGTACATTCTACTAAACAGGGATATAATCCAATCAGTTGTTCCCATACTGACTTTTCAACTGAAAAATGAAATTCAAAATTTTAAGTATAATACTGAGTTAATTGCAAATGTATTAAAATGAAAAGTTTAACCCTCTACGCTACGTCACTTCTTGTTGGCTCAATAAACTACCTATATGTATCTACTCCAAATTTCTACTTCAAACTTTAGCAGAATAAAAGTTATTACAAAACAAAATTTTGGAGGTTAGTACAACTCCACGTGTGATTTTGCGAATTCAACACAAAGGATAAACAAATAATGAAATATTCTTATTAGTAAAATTATGTTTTTCTTCGTATTTTAAGTTACAGTTACCTTTATTTGGAGGCGCTTTTTTTAGCGACACAACAAGTGTTGCAACTGCTTTCAGGACAAATGAAATTTCGGACAATCTGTACCTAGAAAAGGTTTATATAATAAGTACTCACAAATGAATAAAAATTCATCGCACTTTATAAAGAGGCTTATGCAGTTATGTAATATTGTTAGGTATATCGATTGGAAGTCGGTAGTAACATTATTTGTCGTTAAAAAAAAACGAAACTATTACCTAGGTAATGGACATTTTCCACTTCGTCTTTCATTTTCTATATATCGTCGTAAAACTTCTTGAAACCTATGAAGGAGAGCAGTGACTGCCAATCTTCCAGCTACGCCTCCTTCGTCGTTTTCGGGATTTTTTGATGTGTCGTGTTCCGATTCGTTATTTAATCCGTCCAAAAGGGAAAACTGTAGCAGTGTTTCGAAACAGGTTTTCGCGAACTCCTCCCTCAATTTCGTTTCGCTGCCATTTTCTGGACAGAAAATGGAAAACAATATTACAACCAGATTATTTTAAGCATAGAAACATTGAACTGCTTACCCATATTCGTTGTGGTCGCCGAATGTATAGAACCTTTATTCAAAAGCATCACCACGCGTAAAATAAATTGATGAGGTATGTGTTGAGAATGCGGCAGAACTTCATCTCGTAAAAGTTCCATCACTTGACAGTCTACAGCTTCATCCGCTTGAATTTCTTCGACGCCTCGTTCCACGTTCAATACGCTATATGATGGACAGAAACATCGGACATTTCAACGAAAATCAATAGCTTTTCTAAATGGACGATAACGATAACATTTTCTTCTTTTTAAAGTCACCTTTTCGGGAACAAAAAGTCATCCAAGGTACTCGCAAGTTCGGGCCACATATTCTGAAACTGTTCGGGAGATTTTCTGGCCAGGGGCAAGCCCGTGTGCAAAACAGCAAGCAAACTAGTAACAGCTAATTTCCATGTTGTCGGTGACGGACAGGCATATTTCATCGACAAAGGCACGTGCAACGCTTCTATAATGTGCTTCAACACTTGCCCTTCTATCACAGCTATTTCATGGGCTGTTTTTTGATACAACGTTACGACCATCGATAAGGCTTTCTCTCCGAAAGGAACGTAGTTCATGGTGACCCAATCAGTCTGAATAAATGAGAAACACTAAGCAACAAATCGCTCGGTAAAGATAACGATCGAGTGCTCGAAGTATAAATACGCACAGATACACCTCTAACTTGGGAAATGTGTTTCGTTGGTATTTTACCATACGTGGGCGCTTCACATGCCAATTTCGAGAAGCTCAGAAGCTGGAGGAAGATCAGGACGATCATTGTTCGCAAATTGTCAGGTCCGTTTAGAGCCTCCTGTCGGGCAGGTAATAAAGTTCATTTAAACTGGTTGTAGATAATTCAAAGAACGCTGAAGATCACACACACCTTTTGTAAGAGCTCCATCGAATGAAGCACGCCATCCTGTAAATGGGTAAGGACGACATCTGGCATTGTTGGTAAAATATACGGCGTTGACTCACCGTGTACCGGGACTGCAACTGCATTTTTCAATACTATGCAAAGTTTCTGTAAGTCTGGACCAGTGAATCTAAACAAACGACGTAAGAGAAATTGTAGTCGACTTCTGGCTGCAAATGAAATCTACTGTAAATCTAACATATTAGGGAAAATTGTATCACGTGTCCCTGAAATATGTTAGGAAATACTGGATGACAAATACATACTGGATATAAAACTTTGCCCTATACTGCGTCCGCAAATCTTACTGGATGAAATGATTCAATGACTTTGAAAGGATTTATAAACATACTTGTTTCTGATGTGTTGAAAAACAGCTGGGAATATGTGAACCAATGCTGTTAAAAATGCTTGAGACGGTATATAAGGTTCTGCTTCGCCTTCCTGCGGCGGTGTTGTACTTTCCATTCCAATATTAAGCCACACACGCCACGCAACGACCCACAATGCTTCTGAGTCGTTCGACTGGATCACTTCGTTATTGTCGCTTCCTTTTTGAAGATATAAAATCTCTTGGAACGATTTCAAGGCTGCCAACGATACCTATTGACATAGATCACGTATAAATTATTTAAGATTACGCATTATTCTGCTCTGACGGGGACAAACATTTTTCACTGTACCTCATTGTTTTTACTGAGCGCAGAATTTTCTATGAATTCAAGTAAAAGAGACCAAGCTCTAGGGAAATCGCCCAACATTTGTAAAAGTTGACGTTTTGTATTAAAAACTCTTCCAACGCCACTCAATGTCAATACCTGTAAAATGATCGTCTATAAGGCCTGTTCCTTCATTTAATATCGGTTAAAAAGTTTTTTCTTATTTATTAATAAAATACTTCAAAGCAGAAATAAATCAAATATTCTTCTCTAATAGTTATTGGACTGCAGATTTTATGCATTTATAACATAAAGAAGTATGTGAAATGCAATAGAAAACAGAACTTGCATCAGGTTTAATAGATGTTTTATTTTATTCTTAACCCGATAAACAACTTTAGGGAAAAAAGAAGTTTCTGTTTTTAACCCCGTCTTTATAAATTGTTTCGTAAAATGTTATTTGGCATAAATATAATACGCAATATAAATAGAAATTATTACCTGTGTTTCTGCCCATTGCTTCTGCGCTGTGTTTCTACTATGATGTATGAGAATGTTTCCGCTAGTATCTACCTTTTCACTGCTAGCAGAATTAGATAAACTTCTTACTTTATCTAGTAATGGAAAGAGAACCTGCCAAAGCACGGCCTGCCATGTTGGCTGGTGCAACAGACTACCATGTGCGGATATTGTCGAAAATAAAGTTTGACTGGCTGATTTGCGTACTGCAGGCCGAGGATCCACGCACAAATCCCCTGAAAATATAACAGTATCACGTGCTACCTACCATTTAAAATCATTACTATAGTGTTAATTATAATTACAATTCGTTGTAATTACAACAAGTTGCTGTATTGAGTTTGATAATGTAGATCATGGCTACGATACAAAAGTAATGCATTACCTAATCTCGTGTATAGGCACATCCAAAGTTTATCAAACGCCGGCATGTTTGTTGTACCAGGAAAATCCGGAAATACAGAGGACGAATCTCCTTTCAGTGAAACACAGAGTTTTTCTTGATTTTGATAAAAATAATCGCTTATATTCCACTGAAAAGGCGAACACAATGATGTCAACGAACTAACTACATTTATATATTAAATACACATAATTTACTGATCCGTTTATCTACTTCAACCAATTGTATATTATACACGATAGAAGAAAAAAAAACTGTTCATTTTAATAATGCGTTCATAATTAATTGTAATTGCCTGATTGCCTTGATTGATCTTAATTTTCATTTGTTCAAGGTATTTTCGCTTGGACTTTAATAACTTTAGGCGCTTCTAAGTCTTCTACAACTGAACGTATGTGTCTTTTAAACATGATTTCTTGCCCTGATATATTCCAAAGGAATTCCACCTGCCTGTAATCGCGCAACACACCTTCATTTCCTATGTCTCTTGTAAGATTAAAAAGAATTGTACAAGCAATGCTACGCATAGAATCAAAATTCAAGCATCAGAGATTTTAATAAAATGTAAATCGGTTCTTACCATTAATCCGACAGCAGTAAGTGAAATATTTAATTCTTGAGTTTGCGAACCAAACTTGGCAGCTGTGTCGACGCAAAGTGGAAGACACCGCCAAGGCATCACTGGCAGAAAATCAGTTACTACCAATTGTAAGCACTGAAAAGCTATTCTAACTAAAGCTTCCCTGTAAAATGTTATTAAGAGACCACATTAATTAACAATATCGAGCTATATATACGTGTTTAAATATTGTGATATTTACCCATGGTGATCAGACACTGCTCCAATGATACCAAGTACCAATGGCCAACCATGATATAATGTCTCTCCTGCTCCATGTAGAACTTGTAAAACACACTCCAATTGACGTTGTCTCACATCACCATGACGTACCGATGATAACTCGGATAATGGTCCCAAAAGTAAGGTCTGCAACTTCTGTGTTGAAACAAGGAATAGCATTTGTAGTAACAGATCCTGTTGTATACACTTTTTTTTTCATTTTACAAAGTGCCATATAGATGAACATACTTGGTTATCGCGTAAAGGTTGGGGATATTTGTGCTGTAGTGCCATTTTGACAAGGTACGTAATAGCTTCCACTCCCCATTCTCTCATACGAATGTGCGGATGTTGACAAACTTCCAACAAATGATTCGTTAATGGCCTCCATAGAACTTCCACTCGAGGCAAATTCACTAAACCAGTTTCCAAAAGTTTCGCCACAGCAAACAACGATGGTTCCTAATAGGCATACAAGTTGTATGTAAGCAGCTTCGCATTTCAACTTAAAAAAAAGCTGTCTATTATAAATATCCGGAAATTTACCCTATTGGAGTAAGCCAACTCCATGGCTTCGTGGCTTAGTTTGCAAAGTGCATCTATTAGGTGATGTAAAGCTACATCGTCTAAATGTTGGCTGCTTTCGAACAATCTGCTAAGCATGGCGCTAAGTACAGGCAAATCCGCCATTACTGCATTCGTAAGTACTGCATTTGGATCAGCAGCAGTCCTACCAGCTTTCAAGGATCCTCCCGTGGAAGGTTTTAAACCCAGTATCCAAACAAGATGTTGTAATGTTGTAAGCACCAAGTGCCACGCACCACCGAGTATACTACCGTGGCAATGGGCAAGTGACAATAATGCACGCATGCATTGTAAATTCTTTGCTGTTAACATCACAGGCCCCTGGTGTGCACCTACATAAGCATAATTTTACAGAATGCGTAAAGTGTTAATGAGTATTCAGAGATGCATCGAATGATTGAATTAGTTCCTTTTTAAACGAAGATATTAGTACCATATGAGAACATCTTAACCTGAAGTGACACAGTAGTAAAAAATTAATATAATGAATAAATGATTAGTTAAATTTGTAAATTCTTTCAAATAAATGTCACGGAATCTCAGTTAAAATTACATGACAGATTAAGATCATTTCTTAGGAGAAAAATGTGTCGAATTAACATAAGAGATGGATGAGGGTTAATACAAAAGGCCACTTGATACAAAATAACTTTCAACGAACGAAAGCTTTCATACTTAATTTAGTATTACAGGTATAAATACCTAGGCTTTCGTTTTTATTTGGAGTTATTTTAATTTTCAGTTATATTTACGTACCAACTGGCAGAGATGCGGTAGGTAGCGGAGTACCAACAGCTACTACCTGCTGTCGATAGTCCGGTTCTCCCATAGTCAAATTGTACTGAGAGGATTCTTGTTGTCTTGCACTTGGTATACCTTGAGGAGCATTGTACAATACTGTCAACGCATAGTGAGGAGGCAACGAAGCTTTGCATATTGCCGTAATGAACGCGTCGCGGGGAGTCTGTAGCTCTAATTGTCCACACAGAGATGCGAATGTTTGAATAGCTTTTAACACGTTTTCTGTCGCAGATTCGTCGGTGCTGATAATTATGATAAAACAATAATTATTTTTCTATATAAATAGCTGTAAAATAATCATTGCAAGCAGCAGGGCTTTTTTTTTTTACCTGGCATCTATAAGAGGACTTAATGCCGCTAGTAAACCGCACCAACTTGAATTAATGAGTTGAGTATGAAGTTTTCGTTCAGATTCAGTCGGTTTATACGTTTGATTTCCAGTCACAGCTTCGCCAGACCCATTAATTGCAAACGCGATGGATCGTATAATATCCAGTAAACATGCATAAGCTATACTGATTCCATAGCCAATTGGTATTTGTGGCGGTTCGACTTTATCAAGCATGTCCAAACTATAAATTATTTTCAGTAGAAATGTTACTGTAATCGAATTAACATCCGTGCGAAATATTGTAAGCAGCGACGGTATACTTACTAGGTGGATTTAGCTTGACCACTTGTGAACGTCGCAACTACCGGCAACCAAATACCGCGGGAATAAAAACCAGGTTGTGGTGAGACGCCAGGACCAATTGGCATTCCCGTGAATAGGGGGGATGCAGTATTTTGTGGTATTGTCGTACCTGACACTGTATTATAAACGTGTTAATGTCTCGTCGTTTAACGTTGTATCGTTATCTAATAAAACAAACTTTACCCATATTAGTCTGATTCATCATTTGCGGATTAACAAAAAGACTATGAACATAGGCTCCCAAACTATTGACAATATCTTGAAAGATATTGGTCGCATGAGGCTTTAAATCGTAACATTCGCAAAAATTTGTAAGTAGATCAGCTTGCACTGTCATCTTATGTAAAACCTCCAATGCTAATGCTCTCTGCCAAGTTGGCTTATCAGGATCCAAAAATTTAACAATTAAAGATAAGAATATTTCACATTCTGTTACCTAAAAGCATACAAATATAATAATATGTATTTGTTTAATTCTATAAGATATGTTTATACTGTGTGATATTGAATTATATTATTTACCAGAAGACAATGATATTTCTGTATTAATATAGAAACAACTCTAAGAAGTCTCATGCTAATAGGAAAATAAGGCTTATCCAAAGGCGTGGCTTGTTGCAACGCCGCCGGAACGGAATTACGATATTTGATATTCGGTGAGAACAGTTTAATTACGAGGGCACAAACCCTTTCTTTTAACAGAAAGCTGAATTCTGGATGCTGAAAAGAACAACAAATTGAAAATTTATAGTTCACAGTTGACTTATTTATATGTAATGTAAATACCTTAAAAAATACCGAGGAAAAATTTGTTAGAACGGATTCTAACAATTCCAAACCGAATGTACGTGTCATTTCGGTAATTCCAATTAACCAGTAAGGTTGATCTGCATTCACCAATTGAACTAAATCCTAGGAAAATAAAATGTATTTTAATCGTTTCATTTTATAAATCAATTTAATGGAAAATAGAAATGCAAATACTTGAAACATTAAATATGCATCAGCAGCACATGGCCCTAAACCTTTGGGTGCCTGATTAGTAGGAATTTTCAGCTCTTCCAAATTTATATCATCTGAATCTTCGTTATCAGCACTTTGTTCATCTTCTGCAACAACACGTTCAAATACCAATGAGACCAGCTGTCGCACAGTGGCTCCTGCCGTGTTGATTGTTGTACTATCTTTTGTAAAATGTAAACGAAAGCAAAGGACAAGATTCTGAAAATTAAATCGCTTGATAAACTTATTCCTATAACACAAGTTTTAATTTAATGCATATTATTGATTATTACCCTTGCAAGTGTTTCACCATGAACAATTGTATTACTTGTGAGTAACAATGTCACAGTTTGCAAAACTTTAACTTCTTCTGTTCCCGATTCCATCAACATCCATAATGTGTCTGTGATGTAACGAGCACCTTTCTGATCAACAGCTTGTTGTGTAATTAACCTTTGCATTATGGTTAAACAAAACTAGAACAGTATAAGGATATACACTTAAAACCAAGAGAATAAATTACAATAATTACAATTAGGGAGAAGAATGTCTGTTCCTTGCATATGTACCTTAATAATTTTTACATCTTTACTTTCGCAGCCTTGAACCAAGGGGTACAAAATTTGATTTACAATATAATAAATGGGGGCACCTGAAGCGTTTGCAGTAGTTCTGATTTTTGTGATTCCCTCTTCGCATGACTGTAATGGAAACCATATAAATAAATAACAATTATTTATCATGATTTTTATAAGATTTATCCATATGATCTTTTTTAAAAACTGGTTCTATTTTTATATTCAAAAAACCATAAAAGCAATGGGAGCATCTTGATTCTCTGTTAGAGATCATTTTAAATGTGAATTTACCAAAAAATACATTTAAGGATGGTGAACTAACCTAACATTTTCATTTAACATTACATTAAAATAAACATTGAATTATTACGGAGATTAATAATAACAACATACTTCCTTAATCTGTGGATACTTCTTCTTAGTCTCAGAGGCAAGAGCTTTCAAATCAACTTGCAACGACTCCAAAAATTTGGAAGTATTTTCCGGGTTAGCTCCGACAGCTGCGCTCGCCATCGTATTACGATCCTTTTTTTACGAGCTCACCATAAAAATCTATCTCATCATAAGCTATAAACAGCTCTTTGACGAACGCATACTTTTGTAATACCATTCGTATCTAACCGACAGTAGGTGAGTTGGCACGTCCCATGCCGATTATCAGAAATGACAATGGACAGGTGACAATCTGTCGAATTTATCCTTAAACATTCTCGAACTTACATCATTTTAAAGACATAAATTGCAATAATCCCTTGAGGATGTTTCTGACAATTGTGTTAAAGCTCTTTAAGAATCATGTTGTCCCACGATTATCAATTATTTGCATTTTTATCGCAACACGTTCAAGTAAATAATAAACCGTGGCATGCAATGGCGCTGATAACTCATATGTCGAAATCGTGCTCTGACATCGAACATAACTCATTATACACGTAGTATGGAAACTAATACGATAACCCAAGGATACGTGATACGTTGCACTCTGGAGGCCAAAATATTGGGTTCGTGAGAAAATAATATTATTTTTCAATACTAGAGATTAATTAGATTTCAAATCTAGAATTCAATACTAGAATTTAGAATACCTAACATCCAGTTTTCAAACGGTTCTAAATAATGTTTATTTAAAAGTATTGCGGATTTTTGCTACGTAATTGAAAATGGTCCAAATAAACCGGTAGTGTCATCTACCATAAAATGTTCATGTTAGTAGTCACATAGCACAACCGATGTATCTATTCGCTTGAGCATTTTACCGCAGATGACGCCACTGATCTTTTAGACTATTTCCGGTTCATATCAGTTCATATAAAAAAATCATTTTGTATCTTTAAAATTAATAATACATTCCCTTAGTTCTATATTGATCGTCAACACGTTTTCTGTATTTGTATCACTCAATAACAATTTCTGCTCGTTGCATTTTTAATTAATATTCAAGTTTGTATTAATATTAATATTCATATTGTTTGACCTGGTCATTTTTTCGAACTCTCGTGTTTAAAGAGATAAGAGAGATAAAAAGTGATGGAGGGCTAGAAGTAGCGACAAATTGTTAAACGGATACGATAAACCGAGCTACTATCGGAATCCCATTTAGTATATATATTTCAATCGTTGAGTGTATCCTCGCGAGCAAACTCGGCAAAAAGTGACGGAAAAGAAGGTCCTCCAGCACTTGGTAAATTTATTTCAAGTACTGAAATAAATATTAAATCGAATATTAATTTCATATAAATTGCAGTAATTCCCGATACCATTTGATAGGAGGCCCTCCCCCTTCACCCCTTTTTCCCCTAGCGGAAACTGAATTTGCTCGTGAGTACCAACCTAATATGTACCCTCGCGAACAAACTCGGCTTCCGCTAGGGGAAAAGGTGACGTAAAGAAGGGCCTCCTACTATGCTCCTACCTCTTGGTATTTAGAAATTTTTGTCAAATTAACATTCGATTTAATATTTATTTCAGTACCTGGAATAAATTTACCATGTGGTAAGAGACTTTTCTTCTACGCTGCTTTTTCCCCTAGTGGAAGCCGAGTTTGCTCGTGGGGTCGTTCTGTACAACGGTCGGCAACGTTCATAGTATACTTGTTGCTCACACGCGGCTGAGAGCTGAGAGTTTAGTTTGGCGGTTGGTCGAGGAGGGAAGAAAGGGGATAGGTGACGGCCCGTCCAAGGGTGTTCTTCCTCTTACGTTTTCGTTTGACTTCGCGAGCTTTCCGCAACCTGGTGAGCGCGTCCCGATCCAATTAGCATATGCCATTTCCTAGCGGGAATTTCGTTTCGCTGATCGAATAAAGGTAATTACATGACACTACATATACATATATATAGACACGTTTCAATGAACCAGCGATCCATCGTTCGGAGTTTCGATGCTGACCAAAAAACGACTGGATCCCCAGCGAAAACTTGACACATCGTTTTTCATTTTTTTTTTCGTTTCATATTAATGCGAGAGACCGCCGTTCTAACCTAAATTCTAATTTCTGTCATGGAACGTAACCCGCGGGGGATGGGGGTAAGGAGGGCGACAACCACGGGGTCTCCTTCTCTTTTTGACAGCTAAAAATACGGTTTTTGACGGAGCGTCCGCGAGATCGAACACCTCGACTATTACGGCCACGATACACCGCGCACGCATTTTAAATCGTTTACGTAGCATTCCTCGCGGGAAATATGCGTTCCGGTTCTCGCCGAATTGTACATCTATTCGAGGACCACGATTAATTATGCCCGTGTCGCCCGCGTTAATCTTCATTAACTAGCGAACGTGCCTCGTTGTTTATACCGCGATACTTCTGCTTTGCACATATATGGTAGTACTTAAATCACGATGGATTTAATATGCATGCAGCTTGAAACCGAGGATACCACGGTGTGATTTTTCTTTCGTTTGTAACGCTGGAATACGTTCGCGGCTAACTGAAGGTATTTTTATGTGCATTTTTATCTTTTATATAGTTTCATTGTTAACGTTTATCAAATTATTTTTTATTAATGTGCGAGGAAAAGTAGTAGTGAACAATCGACGACGTTTTAAAAATGACTGATTAGCAGACTGCTGATTGTATGCATTTCTTGCAGATGCAACTGAATGGAACACAAAAAATAGAAACTATTATATGCAGCTTGCTGTAAACATTGTCTTCTTCCTTATTTAGTGAAACTCTTCGTTGTAATAACAAGTCTTCAATTTTTTGTTGCTATTAAGTTCTCTATGAAAATTTGAATTTGCACAAATATTCACAGTCTACTAAAAATTTTAAATGTAACAGTGGTAGAATTTACAGACTTTATTTTATAAAATTCATTAAGAAAATATTAATTTTCTTTTGATGGTAGGATAACACTGTGACAAAATTACGGATACATTAATCTTACAATTAGAGCAGGGTGTAATTTTAGTTCATGTTATATTTACTATTACAAAAACAGTCTCCTTCCTGAAAATAGAATTAATCACTATTTAAATTTAGATCGATTGCCTAGTGAGGTTGATCACAATAATCTTCTATCAATCTTATCTATGTAATTGATATCTGTGTTGATCCAAATTCAACATTCATATTTTTATAAATAGAATCTCTATGATATTTGCAGAAGTATCTGGTATGAAATGTTTTATTGCTAGAAAAGCTAGTCATACTGTTCTCTGTCCTTTGAAAATTATTTTTATACAACATATATATTTTAGATTAATTTTGAGGACAGTAGGCATTAATATTGAAGATCATTTTTGTAAAGTAAAAAGCTGCCTTGTTTGTATTATTTGTTATGGATCTTAAAAGTCATTGGTTATATATAAACTCATTTAAGTCAAATATAAAAATCAATTATGTTGGCATACGTAAATATTTTGTTTCCATAAATAATTCATGAATATAATTGATAATTTTCCCCAGTAAGCAATATAATAACACTTGTAGCTATAAATAGATTCATTATCACTATAATTATTGCATTGATAAGTACTTCCTATTTGACATAATGTTCTGTTATCCACTGTGTGATACAATTATTTTCAAATACTTCCTAGTACAGTGTAATACCTGGTACAAATTTAGTTAGGTGCAATAGTTAATAGCCATGCGTAAGTAGTACATTAATAGATGAACAAAACCTGCAAAAATTATGTTTCGAAATGTACAAGTACAACTACCTAAATTAAAATGTATTTGTTTTAGCTTGCAGGAAATTCAATATGTCGCATCATTTTGTCACAGTTTGTGTAGTGTGCGTTTTATGCACCACGCATACTCCTTGCTCAGCACACACTGAACTCTCGAGCATGAAACAGACAACTCGTGATTATGTGAACTCTGAACATGTACTGGGTCCTAATGAACAGTTACAGCCATTGTGGTGGTCGCTAATTAAATTTAAAGAATCGCAAGCAAAGGATAATAGAAAAGAAAATTTACATAATTTAGGCACCTATAAGAATAGTGCTGTTAAATTTTCTAGTAATGTATCAAACAACAATAATGGTAATAAAATGTCAACACTGTTGATGCCGTCGGCCGTAGACGAAACTCGTACAAAGAGAAAAACCCTGCAGAGTATGAAAGTTAATAAAAATGTTCAAGATACTTATGTTCCAGTGATAGATGAACATTTTACAACTGTAAAATACTTAGAAATAATAGAGAGATTAGGACAGATTGAAATAAGTCACAATGGGGAATTAAAATCTGTACAATCTACAAAAGATTCGAATTCTATCAACGGAATCAGGAGGAAAAGGAATGTAGATATTATAGATGAAAAGTACTTCATGAGGAAAATTTTCGAAACTTACGGAGATGGTACTAGCTTGACAATGGAAGGTTTCGAGAAGTTATTAAGGAAACTAGGATTACTAAGATTACTTACAGATATATCTAGATTGGAGGATCCTAATATTGTTACTAGTCATGAAAATCCATTAGGTGAGTTTTTATCTTCATTGTACGATTGCTTAAGACATTTTCCTAATTTAACAGCAGTTATACTATCTTTATTAGAATCAGGTCTGTAGTGGATCATGTATGTGAGAGATAAAATATATTTCAATATGTGACACACAACTGATATCCAGTATATTACTTTTAATTATCAATTAACAACCCATCAATCATAATAAATCTGCTCTAATACATATGTCTGCATATCTTCTTTAATCGCACATTTTGAATTGATTTAATGCCAGAATCGTCTTAATGATAATAATCTAGCTTAATTTGTAGGTTCAAACTCCTATTGACCTATTAAATTACTTATTGATTTCATTGAACTGCTATTCGGTTCTTCATTAAAATATGTTCATGGGTAGCTTATCGTGGGAAAAAAATAAGGGTAATAATGCTTGTCAAGGAATAAAGGCAATTTACTGTTACGAAAGGATAACTAGAATTTTATACTGGCCCTGTTTGTTGTACGAGATATGATATTAAATAATCATATCTTACGTAACCTTATCCTCTACAAAGATAGCTGGCATTCTTCTGTTATCAGTAACTTCATATTACATACAAAGTATTTAACAGCATTGAAACCATATCAAAATGCATCCGAGATGCATTCTGTGGCAATGTGATAATAAAACTTCCATTTCTCAAAAAATGATGAATATTAATTTTAGTATTCTTACAATCTTAATATATTGCAATTCAAATTCACCATCGACTAATTATATGAAAAAATACGATAGTTCGTAATAAAAATCTTATGTTACAGAGAAATCAAAGAATATACAAAATAATGGCCTAACAGAATACGAGAATGGAATTCGAAAAGAACGGGTAAGATTTGTTGTAATGATTCGGACATCACATTTTACTGTAGTATTGAACACGTTTTTCTTTCTAAGTCATTAAATGTTTCTCACACACGACTGTCCCACTATTTCAGTGCTTAAGTAGCAAAGAATTATTAAGTACTGTTGCGAGAGATATGCCCTACAATTCCATCACTAATAATAATACAAAATTACCAAGTTGGCTTTTCGAACGTGTGTGTCCAGCTCTTGTTTACCAATTAGTAGGTGAATCGAGTTCAGAAAGAAATGGCTGCATTCTTGTACCGGAGAATTATAAACCAGTAATAGTCACTAAATACCTTGGAGAGGATGTATCGCGTAACATGGTTCAAGGTAAGCAATATTTCAGCACAGATAGATTCTTTATTCTGGTGTTATTACGATACATTAAATATTATTTTCATCTGTTTCAGTGTGGGCCTATTCTATAATCAGTATTCTAATAATTAGTCTCTGTGGTTTATTCGGTGTAGCTGTCATACCTTTTATGGGTAAAGTATACTATCATCAATTACTACAGTTTTTGGTCGCTCTTGCTGTCGGAACATTATGCGGCGATGCTCTTATTCATTTGTTACCCCATGTAAGATTTTCTAACGAGAGTACAACAATAATTATACGTCGTTATAAGTAACAATAATTAAGAATAGACATTTATTGATAATTGTATATTTGTCCCAGGCAATGATGTCGCACGATCATAATCATGATCACGGTCACGATGAAAAAGATCACGTTGATATAGATCATAAGGAACAGCATAATTTGAATATGTTGAAGGGGCTAGTTTCAATGATGGGTCTTGTACTATTTTTTTTCACGGAGAAAGCCCTGACACTGGTAGCAGAATGGAGAAAACTTCGACAGCGTCGTAATAAAGTAAATAATATTATTTCAGTTTTTATGAAAATTAAGCACGAGTAATGATACATAAATAAATCATTGATTTTAGCTCCCATCGCGTGTTAGAGTAATGCGAGAGACGGATGGACCAAATAGCAACGTTGTCGGCGAGAAACTTTGCAAACACAAGTATTCATCATATCCTTATTGTTACGGTGAAATTAACACAGATGCTCAAGGTGAAATAGTATAATTATTTACTCTAGAATACTCGTTCATTGAATTCTATAGCTAGTACAATCTTGTGATATCTTTTACCACAGTTTTTAAACATTGTTGAATGTGATAATTGATCTATCTTAAAAAAAGGAACTGTAATTATATTCAGATAATCACCATAATCGTCAGCACAATAATCACGAGAGGCCTCCTGTCATCGAAGAAGAGAAACCATTGACATCGAACTGTAATTCAGTATCGAAAATAATGACAAATGACGTGGAAAAGAAACCCAATGAGGATTGGAGATTAGACGATTCGATTGTAAATACGAAGAAAAATACGGACGGTGCTGATATACCGTTAAACAAATCTGAAAGTTATACCGTTATTATACGCGAGCATGAAACGAAACACCATGGTCACACTCATTCCCACGGTATAATTTAATTTTTCAAGCTGACTTGATTACTTATACATGAAGCACGTTTATTAAGCGATTTAACTCTTAAATTTCCTTGACTAGGTCACGTCCATTCTGCTCCAGAATCGATGTCGAGCGTTGCTTGGATGGTGGTTATGGGCGATGGTTTGCATAATTTTACAGACGGTATGGCAATAGGTGCTGCGTTCTCAGCGAACATAGCGGGTGGTTTTTCAACGGCGATAGCTGTATTTTGCCACGAGTTACCTCATGAAATAGGTACATCACTTTCAAGATTTAAACTTAAATTTTCGTTTTTCTTTTTGTGATTTTCCTTGAAAACAATGAAAATATTTCGGATTACCGTCACGGACCCAGTTCCTGATCAGTTTAGTATATAAATATCATACAATCAGTTTATTATAATTTATGTTTGTTTCCCAAAAAATGACTAAAAAATTATTAACGATTTTGAAATTTATACGTAAAATTTGATAGCTCAGAGTGAGATACGGATATATGATTTAGGTGGTCAGAAATAGCTCTTACGTGATCGGGAATTGGGTCCACAACGGTATACTTTTACAAGATTAAAAATATTGTTCTGAGATTCGATCCAAATTTGTTTTCTTTTTTTTTTTTAATTAGGAGACTTCGCAGTTCTGTTGAAAGCGGGAATGAGCGCTAAGCAAGCTGTCTTTTACAATCTGTTATCTTCCATACTCTGCTTATTTGGTATGATATTCGGTGTGCTGTTGGGTAGCACTCCTGCTGTGAGCAGCTGGATGTTTGCAGCTGCTGCAGGAATGTTTATATATATAGCATTAGTAGATATGGTAAATGATATGTAATTTATTCTTCTATAATTATTCAGTCGGATTCAATGACAATTCGTAAAATGTGATATTTTCGTTTAGATTCCAGAATTATCTTCAAGTCATTCTGCGGAACGTAGTTCTCATTGGCAGTGTATTCTACAGGCGTTAGGGCTATCGTGTGGCCTTGGAATAATGTTAATTATAGCGCTCTATGAACAGGATCTTAAGAATATGTTCAGTGATTAAATTTACAAAGACTGACAACTTTTTTTTAAACAATGGTAAGCTTGCGATACTTCCTACAGACCTATCTCTATAGGTTGCTACCTGAGTCAATAAAACTTTAGTTGTGAGTTTTTACCGAAAAAAACCATTTACTTTTATTGCAATGTAAACATACTTACTTTTTCCTTCTTCGTATTGTCTAGCGTAAGATTTGCTGTTGACAGCAACACACACTTTGTTGTCGAGACGAAAAACTTAGAGGTACTGTAATGGAATAAATGCTAAATATGTTTGGCAACGTTTTATAACGTTACGAGTATTTCAGTCCACAAAAACAAAACGAAATAGGCAACTCGAAGAAACTTAGATAATGCAAATACAACGACAATACTTGAGGTATACTTATTAGAAATCGTATTCGAGAATTTCCGTTCACTTAAAGTAATTTAAAGAAAAAACAAGGATCGGGAGTAAAGTTCGAATACTTTACAATTTATTTGGACATTATGAAGATAGGTAAATATAGTTTATTCTTACTGAATAGTTTTTGATATTTTACTCACTAAGATCATATGAATTTGTGAAAATGTCATGCAGATCTCGATTGGCTGTAAATAAGTAACATTGCAAAGAAAACTTACAGATATAAATACAAAATCCATGAAACTATTATTTTAGTAGTATTGATTAAATCATCTAAAATTACATGCGGTTTTCTTTTTTAATTTTAATATTTTTCAAATATTATACACTCCTTTAATTTTGATAATTATGATGATTGTTCAAAATATAAATTAAAATCCGCATATATCCTTTGTTTATCAATTGCTTGGCATTCACAATTTATATGTGCTTGAAAGCAATCAGTGCCCAAGTTGAATTGTGATATATTTAATAACTGCATTCATTATTTCGATGCAATAATTTAGATACAATTTCAGATAAATACCTTATAACTGAAAATCCGTGTTGCATATAATGCTATCGTCAGAAGTATATGATTGAAATTATCAAAGTGCTCTATATATCTTTTAAGATAATTATAATTCAGGTAGATCGAAGAAACAAGTTAGTGGTATTAAATCGATAACAAATTATAGGAAACTACGTATTCATTGTTCATAATTGCATTTTAATGAGTTCACAAAAATGTTCGTCTTTAAATTTCCGGTGCTCCTTCAGTTAAGCTGTTTTAGTGTAATTACTTAGTATGTATTATGCACAGTCTTGAATTCGATTCTAGAAAGAAGTACATATGAAAATTTTTCTTTCATTAATTGATACAAACGAGAATGTTTATAAAATATATAAAATATTTACCGACGATACCGTACCGCGTCTTAACTTTACTTAACAACAGACACGCTTGTGCATAAAACAACTTGATCAAATATTGATCGAAATGAACAAAAATGGTACAAAAATATATTACACCGTTCGTAATAATTCGATAATATTAAAACTTTAAAAGTATTCTCATACTGCCACAGTAATTACCAGTTTTCTTTTATCGGTAATTGCTCATAATTCTAGGTACATATCTGCATGTCATGCCGTAATATACGATCGAAACTTAAAATCCAAATAACTGTAGCTATAAACCTAAACATTTTTAGCTGTACTTATATAAACTAGTGATAACTTTATCGTTAATCGTGACGAAGAAAAATGTTGTTCAAGAAGCATGTTGAAATTTTGCAAAAGATTGTGTTTTTCACGAGATTTATTTTCTCGATGTTGTGTACAAATCGTTTCGACCCGATTGCATTTACCATGGACATTGCTCGAATCACACTTAAATGTCCGTTGCAAATATGTATTACGTACTTTTTTTTATTACGTAAAAAAATGTACCATTTAAACAACCAAATTGTGGGGAGACCTCCTCATCTACTTATTGTAAGTTACTTATGACACTTATTTTGTTTGTATGTTAATATTAATGCTACGATCGATAACAATGTATTTTTTTACAGAAAATGTAAAAAATCGAAAAAAAGCGTTGTATTCTTGTAAGCGAACATTATTTCTAAAATTGTATCTTACATCGATACCGATGTAATTAACTAAATGATTTGCGCTTTTTGTAAAATTTCGAATGCTATGTATAAACATTAGTTTTTACATATTATATTACATGTTTACACATTATTATACTTCCTAAGTAGTTTTAATTTTACTTTAATGCAATAGCAAGCCGTACACTTGTTGGTTTTTATTTGAAGGAATATTTTACTGTTTCTAAGAAGAGATCAGTTGTCATTTGCTTTAATAAATATGTCTGTTAAATCGGCTTCCCCCTAATTCGTCGTAATATCCCCATTTGTCTACACTAAATTAGAACATTCGCGAAAATACTAAAAAAAATATAAGTTATTTTCTTAAACAATCTTAATCTAACATCACAAGTTTTGTATACATAAAACAAATAAGAATGCTACTAATCTATTTCCTTCTTATCAGAAATTTCCAACTAAAAATACTTTTTAATCAGTTTGCATTGATTTTCTTCAAGGGGATTGTTCCATCGTATAATACTAAGGAAAAAGCATAACACAAGGAGCCCAAGAGAAGAAGATAACGAATAATGATCTTTTTTATTCTTTCAAACAGAATAATAGAAGAATGTGAATGACATATTTACAGATGAAATGCTCAACAATAAATATACGCATACGAATTGCATAAAATTATAAACTACATAGTTAATATACTTTTTGTTGTTAGACAATATGCATCATCTGTTCAAAATATTCTTTTCCGCGTTTCAGAACACTTAATATACAATCGTAGTAAAACTTACAGACTTTTCAAGTATTTTCTTCTTATTATGTTATATGACTTCGTTCTGGTAATCCTAACAAAATGATGTAACAAGTATTAACATTATATTATTAGAGATCATAAGAAAATGTTTTGTCATACAGAAACAAGGTCGTCTTTATCGCTCATCTGTGCTGATAAACTGAACGCAGTGTCCGTGCTAGCTTCGCTATTTAAGCTTTCGTTAAACGCTGGCTTCATATGAGCAGCATCACTCATTTCCCTCATTAACCCAGCCATATCATCATCTGGATCGATTTCTTGCATTTCACCTACTACATCGATCTCCATAGACTGACTATCTGTTATTGACATTTCTGGCACTTCCGGTATGGTTTCTTTAAACTGGATTAAATAATCATTTATATACTGTTTATGTGATATATGTATACATGGTAATACTGTACTTATTTAAATGCTTACTTTCATGGACTCCAGTTTACATTCGGCTGGTAAATTCATATGGAACACGCAATTGGTATCGAAAATTACAGGCACTGGCTCATGACATTCTATATCTGCTCTAACTGCTCCGCAAGCTTTAAACAAAACTTGATGTTGATCCTGTCAATGCAATATCGTTTCTTTTGTTTAGTCTTATACTATTTTAATACTGTAAATTGATAATATAATCTTACTTTAAGAATATGTTTACGACAATGTTTTGCAGCAGGAAGAGTTCTTTCCCCACATTTCACTCCACCTTCCGTGAAGATACATTTTGATACACTTGGTATTTTTTGTGCAGGTCCATCCGTTGCCTGGAATAAATTCATCAACCATTCTCTTTAGTCGAAAAGAATTTTAATGGAAATCTTAACAACATAGTACATCCGTGCATTACCTGTGCCCTACGTTCTAATGATTTTCTATACAATATAGCCTCGACTCCACTTCGTCTATGATATCGATTTAAAGCTTTCAATTTTTCGTAAATATTTTTTTCTTTCGTAGCTTCTTTCGGTTGATCATGTATGCTACACAATGTTTCCTTCTCTTTCTTTAGACCGTGCAAATATTTCCGTCTTTTTTCTTTTAAAGTGTACTGTAGTCTTCTAAATTGATCAATATAAAGTGATTGAAGCCGAATCAATTTTTCCCTTGCAATGTATATCACCTCCTCGGCGGTGAAAATTCCTGCGTGCCTTAAAAAATTAATACTACTTATTTGATAGAATTGAGTTTCTTATCTTCGCATGAAGCAACTACAAAATCCAAGTCTGCAGTACTGAGAGTTTAAAGCTTTTGTTAAGCTACATTACTATTATGTAAAGGTTGTGTGTAAGGAAGAATTAAAAGTATTGGATAGATTTGCTCAAGCTAAAGCATGCTAGCTGATATTCTACAGAGTTACGTTTTTCATATAATAAGGTATTGTAAAACCTACAGTACAATCTTATCCTTACTTTAAGGGATCCTCTTGTGCGCTATATAAACTTTCATTATCACTATCATCCAGATAGCTTCCTCGTAAAGTATCACTCACTACTGTAGGTTCAACATCACTATCCGAAGAACTAGCATAGTCTAAGATATCACATCCACTTGCATTTACTCTGAATGCATCGACCTCAGCTAAAATTTCAAAGCACAGTTAAGGGCCAGAATTGAAAAGCTTTCTTATTTGTAGAGATCTTCAAAACATAAATATAATTTTGACCGAATCTAAACTTACTGAAAGGATCCAACGCTTTGATTTTTCCTTCTTCATCCTCTGTGTCTTCTGTGCTTGAGTCGGTTGGTTTAACATAGTGACTTAAGTTTAGTAATAGCATTTCAGGCGACTGTGGTAATGAATGCCTGGATGTTGATTTTATACGTGCTATCTGAGCTTTTCTAGTATGTTCAGTGCAATATCTGTTGAAAAGAAATAACTATGTGCAGTCCAAGGAAGATTATATTAAATGATTTATGTAAATCTGATCATTGCACATACGAAATATCTCTTCTGTCCAACTTTGGTGCTGCGTTTTGGCACTTTCTACCATTGGTATTATAAACAAAACCACATTGTTTGTAAGGTGCATTTGGATCCTCAAGAATATGTTTGATGCAGTAATTGTATCCTTCCAGACAAGACTGCGTACATTCATAGGATGCGTATAGACAAGCATGTGTTTGCTTTGATTTTTTTGTGACTACTGTAGTCACAGGCATTGTTTTTGGGATACGAAACATACCTTGTCTGTGTAAAAAATAAAAATTATATAGTAAGAAATAAAAGTTTTATAGCAATTAATCGTGAAAAGGACGGAACATTGACTTTTAAGAAAATAGCAATAGCCATAGCTACGTTCAAATTGATTTATTTATAATATCTTTCATGTTTTTTCAGAAAATTTAAGAGACGAAATATCTAAATATATACAATAAAATACAAAACAAAAGCTTTTTGAACACATGTATTCCCTTAATATAAAACTTTAAAAATATATCGAATGAGTTCTATAACTTCAAATTTACCGCGAGAACTTACATCGGAAATCAAACCAATTGCATTAACGTTCTAAATATCTTCATGTTAACATGTATTGAATACTTGTAAAATTTTCATTCAATATTACACATTGTACAGATGCAAATTTTCAATCGATTAAAAGAAAAACAAATATCAAAAAACTGATATTTGTAACAAGTGGTAGTCGATCGCCATTTTGTATGTGGGATGTTGAATGAAGTTTCATTGATGTATGGACGAATTTCGAAAGAATGAGGCGGACATGTGATTGGTTTTTGTGAAAAATCGGCGTAAAACGGAACGAGCAGGACTTGGGGCAGCCGCAGAGCATAATTTATTTTTTTTTAGAAACTTACCGTGATCTTTTACATCAATTCTTCCGAGACGAAAAAGACAGTGCCAACCGTTCACGCCTGTCACCGTCAACGTTCTTCTGGAAACTTCAGGGGAAAAAGATAACTCGGTGAAGCGTAAAGTAGCGGCGACCGTGCCGTAAGTTGGAAATTGTATGGGAACAAAATAATGAATACTCGATAATAAAGCACGGGGTCCTTTGTCAGGACCGAAATAACGAGACGCTACTACAGGAATAACATTGGCTGCGTGCACGTACTATACTAGTTGAACGAACGTTGCGTCACTTCCGGGAGTTTAAAGCTCAAAAGTTCCAATTCATAAACTACGTGATTCATACTTATCGGTAGATCAAAAAAAGTTCAGATAGGTTATGACGTTGGTTGTAAAGTGTTAAACGAGTTGGTTTTATTGCGTGACGCACGCGTGTTTACTGTTAACCAAACGCAACGTGATCATGAGGAAAGAATTTGCGATATTCGTTTCGAGACATACACGTTCGTTGCAGTAATCGTGTCAACATACAGTTAAATAGAACATTTTCTGCAACATAATAACAAATAGCATTCTATGGTTCTTCGTTGGAAAAGGATAAATTTTAATACTGCGTAAAACCAAAGCACACTAAGTATCTTTAATATCATTACATAAGATGCAGGGATAAATTTTATTACGTTATCACAGTTGATAGTATCTTCTGTGATTAACCTTGTTTTTTTGTAACCAACCTCATGGCCTGTCGAAAATTCATAAACGAAAGTTACTTTACATGATATAATAGACGAATAAATGATGCACGTAGATGACATTTCCGTGCAATAATCGACACATCACATCGTTGATCACTTTGCGTACCGAACTTTCTATATATACGAAATTCTGAATTATACTTAATGATAGTGATGCGCTACTCAAAGAGACAACTCTATGAACATATTACAACCACACAGAAATGTGGTTTCGTAACAAGATATTCGAACAAATAAAACGTGCACGAGAGCAGAACTGATCTAAACGGTATCAAAGAGTTACGTACGAGCCTCTGTAAATCACAACAATCTATTATCATAAATATACGTAAGCGTTGAAGCCTCTGAAGCATCTCTGAAGTTCATTTTTCATTTCCTGTACGATTCCGATGCAGTGCCGTGAAGTTGACCGCGTACCGGAATAATTCGACGAAAAAGAAAGCTTCTATGCCCGGTATTTAAAAGCTCGCATGCTAGCGTGAACAGCAAGTTACTTGACTAACAATTAAAAACCAGTAAACTGTTGTAACTATATGGTACGAGAATTATTAAAATAATTCGTGAAACAGTGACACGCCAGAGAAACAGAAATAAAGAATTTATTTACTTCTTTATAAACGCGCGATCATGATTCACTGTGAAATGTTCGTCTGTGAGTATGGACTTAGAGTGGAGTTTCCGGTCAGCGTAGTGACGTGAAGTTTTCAACGTGTCGCTGTTGCGCGTTCGTCGTGCTTGCCGCTTTGTCGCCGCCGTCGGAACCGCCGTGAAGTGCGCATCGTTAGTACCGAGTTGTGTGTACATATAAATGGCGGCTGACGAAAAATGGTACTTTGCGAAAGAACAGCTCACAAACACGCCGAGCAGACGATGCGGCATCGACGCGGATAAGGAACTGAGCTACCGACAGCAGGCAGCGAATTTCATTCAGGATATGGGACAGCGGCTCGCGGTGTATCCTTTTTAACGAGTGCATGTTCGGTTGCGTGTTCTCTCAACCTCCCTTTGCCCCCTGTCCCCACCGATGTTTTACATTCGTTTTCGATGCTTTCACCCGCTGAAAAATCACCCCCAAACGGTCGTGTATGTTCGCGTGATTATCTACATCTTACGTAACGATCCATCAATAGTTCGGAATTCCGAGTAAACGCGAGATACGTAATGTGTTGTAAACACGAGTGACGTGCGAAAGAGAGGAGGTCACGCGTCATGATTACCGATTCTCCATATTGGACATTCTCGCGTTACACATTTAGTGAACCCGTAGAATTTTTGGATTTTCGAGCTGTTCAATACGACCGTGTTCCCGTAGGAAATGTTTTGGGTGAGTGAGAATACCGAGAAATTTTGTTAGCCGAAAGGAGGACGGGGAATAGGGTCATGGAAAGGCAGCATTGTTTGCCAAGCCAAGTTTGACAGTATTACCAACCAAAGGCACGGTTTTTTTTGCTGATATTCCTTATACAAGTATATTTTCCTTGTATTTTCAGTTTGTCCTTTCTTTATGCATCTTTATACATAGCATCAAGGGTCGATCTCACTTGCCGATGAATGTGTTATTGTACGCTTATATGAGAAGCATTTGCTATAGTTGGTTTACAAGCTATAAGAAACTCCTAAAGTTATTTCATTGAGGACTGAGTTTTATTGATAAGGCAAAGCACATACGTCTCTTTTAGAGATAATGATTTTTACAGTGAAACTAATGCAAATCAAATTTGAGTTGAGATAATTTGGGACATTCCTGTTGTAAATGTCAGCAAATATAACTAACAAAGTCAATAAGTACCTTACTATCATTGATATTTCATATCGTATAGAAAATTTAACTGAATCCATTCTTTATAATATTGCATCTCTAATAATGGGCTAATCTTTATTAAAGGACATTGATTTTTAAGGATTTTAGTAATTTATTATTATTATTATTTAAATAGTTTAAGAATTAACTTCTATAATAAGATTATAATTGTTTAACAGTACTATTATTTTGAAAACATTTTATACATAGAATCAAGTTACAAAACACAAAAAAATATTTGTATTTTCCATAACATTTTTATGTTTCAGATACATGTTTGTCATAAAATTCTTAATTGCCATACTGGTTGTGAGAACTTCAACATATTCTTCATATTATTTCGAATCAAAATTTGATGAGCGTATCTTGAGATTATGGTATTAGATGAAATTCGCTTAGAGAACTATAGTATCAATTTTTCTAGTTCTACTCAACAGCACACAGTATTCTTGTATCAACTTCTTATGTACTAAAAACACAATGACAGAGTGATGGCCTCTTTTGTATTGTTCTATTTTCATTCTATTGTAAGCTTTTCTGACATCTTAATTTATATGCACTTTTAATTAAGGTAGTAAATAATTTAAAAAAAAAATAAATAAAATGTTAATAGTATTAATGCAAAAAAATATAAACTGAGAAGATCTTTAGATAAAAGGCAAGAGTACACAGCAACATTATGTGACTTTGTTGATCAAGTTTTTTATATTAAATGTAATTTACAGTTTAAATAAAATTTTTTAAGTATAATCTATTGTTCCCTCTATTTTCTAATCTTACCATTTAATTTAATAGTATTTTCGTGTCTGAGTGCAGTTTGCTACTTTAATATTTTTTTTCTTTTTAATTTACTATCCTATTATACGTAAAACTATATAAAACGTGCTTCCTTTGAGAAATTTTCCTACATTTGTATCTATTTTTGAAAATATTTTTTTCAAGTATTGTAAAAATAAGTGTCCAAAGATTTGTTTGTACGTCTCTTGTATCGTAACACTTCAGTGAAAATGATTTAATTTTGTCATTTCTAATATTCTACTCGTATATTTTTTTATTTATTGCATTAGTAAGTGATTTATGTATTTATCCTTAGTTCTCTGCATCGTGTAGAACCAAAGAATGACCATGTCTTATTCTAAACAATTTTCACAATTAGAAATTATAATAGTTCAAGAAAAACAGCATGAATATTTCTTATAATTTTAAAATAATATGTAATCGCTACTGTATCAAATATGGAAATGTAATAGGCAATATACATTGTTTGATGTTTTCCTTAATTAGTGAATCACAGAACGCAATTATGTATCAACACAGCAATAGTGTACATGCACAGGTTCTACGTATTCCACTCGCTGTCACACTTCCACAGGAATGCAATCGCGGCGGCAGCACTATTTTTAGCGGCAAAAGTCGAAGAACAACCGCGCAAGTTAGAACATGTTATCAAAATGGCACACATGTGTCTCCACAGAGATCAGCCCCCACCTGACATCAGGTCTGAGGTAGGATTCAGAAAATCAACCCAAGAAGTAATCAAGAAAAAACGACACAAAGAGATCATCATTCGAGTAATATATTAATTTATAGCAATACCTTGAGCAAGCTCAGGACCTGGTTTTCAATGAAAATGTCCTACTGCAAACATTGGGGTTTGATGTCGCCATTGATCATCCCCACACACATGTTGTTAGGTGTTGTCAACTGGTTAAAGGTACATATATTACGTATAGTTAATCGTTCCATGATACAGTCAGTCTCATTTTCACTAAACACGTAGCAATCGTAAGAAAAGCTTAACAAACAGGAATAATAACATCTGTATGTGAACTAACAACTGCACTGTGAAATACTAAATTCTATTAAAGTTTTACAATCTTTTTTTTTGCAGCGAGCAAGGACTTAGCCCAGACTTCATACTTCATGGCATCTAACAGGTGGCTACACATTATTTCCTAGTATCTCTTACTCTTAGCAGTCTTCTGGTCAAATAGATGCCAGCTGGAGCATATTTCCAAGCTAAAACTGTCAGGCAATAGCCACTGGCGCAACATTCTGACCTGTTATTCCATCAGAAAGCAAAGTAAACGTGAAACGGAATTGTATATGTAGGTTTTATTTTTAATTGATTTAATTGATGGTATCTATAAATTCAAGGGAAGCTTAGGAACACTGTGGGTGTATCATGAAAGCACGATGATAGGACTTAATAACGTTTTCTTTAGTACAACAAAAGTTTACTTTGATTTCACACGCTTTTCGAGTTCTAATGCGAATGTTTAAATTGTCAACAGTAACTTTTTGGGAGGAATGTTGCGTTGCAGTCGCGGTAATGTCTGATTCTAAAGAGAACGTATGCCAAAGCGAAACGAAGTTTATTTCGTAAACTAAGTTCACGATGAGGATTGCTTAATCGAAGGTAAATGAAATATTCTTAACGACTGATCGTTTTCTCTTAAATTACGGTATATTGTCCAGTTTTTTATTTTTATATTTATATACACTTATTTTCAAGCTGTAGATGCACAAAAGAGATTAGAAGAGTGGATGACATGAATGTGAAAACAGTAATACGATGTGTGAATGCACAGAGATAATTAACAATTAAAGATAGGAGAATATATAGACATATCAATAGAGTTTGTTTGTGTTAGCATTTCATTATAGCATGGTCACAATCAGGTCCCAATTTATTCAAATATTATTTGATTATTTTTATAAAAGTATGATCATTGAATAATATTCGAATAGATGACTTGAATGTTTAGTTTGGATTAAGCCTTAACCTATCTCTGTTGTAAGCAAAACAATTGAAATTTTAAAACTTATAAGAATTTTTTTACTTAAAAATACGTTCTCTCGAATATACAAGAGTTGGTCATTTTAGTTTGTTACTTTATGCTTCGTGTACTATTTAATATGGTACTATTATTCACTCTATCATGGGATTATGTTGGGGCAAACTTCGGTAAAATTTGTTACGATACAACAGAGTGTTATAGGGCTTATACTAATTGTCGTCTATGGAAAAATTCACATATAAATAAGTTTGTGTAGCTCATCGCGAAAAAGTAGCATTGCATCAACATGTGCTGTTCTTTCAATTGTTTTGGAAACGTACTCTTTGGAATTAAAAATTATATTCACAGACCGAAAGTTCGAATTGGAAAACAATGTAATCAATCGTCTTGAACGAATCGTAAGAAATTCGTCCTGGTTTTATCCCGATATTACCCATGTTTAATAGAACTTGTACATGTCTTTTTATAGTACAGTTCTTTTCACGCCGTGGGTTATATTACACGGAACAGTGGTCGGTACAGAAGGTATCAACGTTCCCCTGTCAATTTATAGAAGAATTTTTTCGTTTCAGTTTACATTTGACAACAATGTGTCTGCAGTACAAACCAACAGTAGTCGCCTGTTTCTGCATACATCTCGCCTGTAAATGGTCCAACTGGGAGGTAAAGTATTGCAACTGTCGCATAAAAAAAAGAATTACGAATTTCTAAATAAAAAATCATCCAATTAATTAATACAACTATCATAATTATTTTCATATAGATACCACAGAGTACAGAAGGGAAGCATTGGTTCTGGTACGTCGACAGGACGGTTACTTCTGAACTCCTTCAGGAACTTACCGCAGAATTCCTCCACATATTTGATAAATGTCCCTCGAGACTAAAGAGGAAAATCATGAGCATATCCGCCAGTCAAAGTACAAGCATCAATCATACTAGTTTACCAAATTCACCTTTTGTGAGTATCTTTCGCTGAATAATAAATCTTCAATACTGAAAAATACTGTAGCGTGTCTCGATGCTATTCATATTTTTATAAGAACAGATTCGTTGATACCGTTGAATCTTTTGCAGGACGCGGAACCTCGTAAAGTACAGTCTCCTGCGACGACGGCCGATGGACCGACATTCCATATGAATCGACCTCATTACTCGGACAAGTTAGAAGACAAGAAACAAATTACCGCTGTTCCCACGAGGCCGCCAGTCGATTACCGGGAGTATCGCGAGAAGAAGGAACGGGAACGTTTAGAAAGGGAGAAGGCGGCGGTTCCGTCGACAGCCGCGCAAAGTCACGCATCGGACGTTAACAAGCATCATTCGCATCATCATAAGCCTGTGTCTAGTACAAACGTGTTGAATAAGCATCAGTTGCCGCCTGGCCAGAAGGGGCTTCATCATAATCATCACCACAGACCGGACGCGAAGGTCGGCCAATCGGTGCCGCAGAGACACTCGAGTAGCAGTCAAGCTAGGGAACCAAATCGCGATCCTAATAGACAGAGGTTACAAAGGGAATACAACTCGACGACAAGTAGCAGTAGTAGCAGTAGTACCCTTCATTTACATAGTCACGCAGTGCCGAAGGAACCGAGCTCGGACAATTCCTTGACCGACTCTGCTGCTCACAGATCTGATGTCGGGCCGCTACAGGAGCCGGTATCGCATGGAAACATGCAGGAGAAACTTAGTAATAATAACCATAGTGTGCATAGATTAAGCGGAGTAGAGAGTAGTAAGCATCAGGGTCACGAGAAGAGAATGTACGATCCAAGGCACAAGCCTGTGGAGCATAGAAAAGACAGTGAGCAGAAAGGATACAAATATCCGGACCCGTCGAGAGCTGATCGACAAAGGAAGTCCGACAGTCTAGAGCAGAGGTGCGAGGAGGTGAGGAAGATCATCGAGAAGCCCTTGCCGCCGCCGAAACCCGCGCTCGAAGTGTCGTACGTATCGAATGCACAGAAACCGACTCATCACACTAAATACAATCAACCGGAAAAATTACAAACCAGCGGTGGCGCGGTTCCGGTCGATGGAAAGCTGACCACCGGCCAGAGTTCGTTCACGCAGGAGAAGTCCCCGACCGGTTCGAGTGTATTGCTCTCTCAGAAACCTTTATCGTCGAAAACGGTCTCGAATCAGCACACCGCCCACGGTGTTTGGCAAATATTGAAAGACAAGATCAAGATCTGTAGCACTCAGGCGTCGAGTCTGACGTCCTTGAACAATCTCGATGATCCGAAAACGGAGAAACGGCCACGGCACGACGACACCGAGAAGAATTCGTTGGACATCCAACCGGCCATGTTACAAACGCCCCCTGGCAAGCACAAATCGTTGTTCAGCCCGGAGAAGGTACCGACGCCTCGAGAATCCCACTCGCAGAGGCCTAAGTCCAAGCAGAAGACGCCGCCGTCGGCTGCAAAAGTTCCTAAACAAGAGCGCGTGACGGACACGTCGATAGGTTTTAATTTAGTGTCACCGTTTGCGAGCCCGCCTGCTTTGCAGCAGCAGCAGCAGCAGCAGGAGACGGCGCTTTCAATGAAACGGCCTGCAGGCGATGTTTCCACGTCGTCCCATAAGAGGCATCGCTCGGGTAGCGCCAGCGAAGGTGGACAGCCGGTTAAAGTGAAGATAGAGGACACGTCTAGCTTCGAGGCCGTCAAGATGCTCGGCAGGGTACCGGAATTGATACAACCGATCAGGGACAATCCATCGTCGAATGGCAGAGCCAGTCAGATCGCGAACGACATGAAACCACCGGAGTTGATCAAGCCGTTCGACACGGAACCGACATTATCGCGGTTCGGTGTGACGCAACACCAGCAAGGTTTGTCGAGTCTGCAAGGTTTGACGAATGGTCTGGACACGAACGCGGTGAAGCAGGAGTCTCAGGAGTTCCAAGTGAAGAAAGAGTCGTACAAGACCGACATGTCGAAGAAGATGGAGCATCAACAGATCAAAGCGGAATACCTGTCGCCGATGAAGTCCGCGCAGAGTATAAGTGCTCTGCTCCAGGAGCCATTGGCACCGATGCCGTCGTTGCTTCAGAGTATGCAGCCGTTCGGCCAATCATTGGCCCAGCAACAAACGCCGCAGGAGCAGTTTCACCAGCAGCATTTGCAACAGCCACAGCCGCAACTGTCGCAGCAACAGCAGTCTCTGTCGCATTCGTTATCGCTGGCGGATCATCATATCCCAATCCAGAATCAGTGCTTGTCCCTGCCGACGGTGAACGAGCCTGCGATAGCGTCGACCGTCGACATAAGCGCGCTCACCGGACCGGTGCTGAGCAGTACAGAGTCCGTAGTCTCGGTGCCAACGTCGACGACAACCGTGACGGTTCCAACTGCCCCTGAAGAGAAGCGATCGGAGCATCACAAGAGCGAGAAGAAGAAGAAGAAGGAGAAGCACAAGCACAAAGACAAGGAGAAGAGCAAGGACAAACACAAGCACAAACACAAAGATAAGGACAAAGAGAAGCATCGGGAGAAGGAGAAGGAGAAATCAGCCGGGGACGAGACTGTGTCGGCTGCAGTGCCCATTAAAATCACGATACCCAAGGACAAATTGAACCTGAGCACAGAGTCGACGGGCAGTACCGCGGGTAGCGCGATGGCGCCGCCCGACAAGAACAAATCACCACAGAGCACCAGCATCAAGATCATTATCCCCAAAGAACGGTTGAAAGGCGCGGACAGTGTGTCGAATTCACCGGTCCAGCCGGTTGTCCAGGCCCCGTTAAAGATCAAAATCCGCACGGACGGGATTTCCCGTAGCTCGACCGGCGGTGCATCCTCAACAACGAATAGCTCGAGCAGCACCAGCACCGTCGTGCCGGAATTCACGAACGAGAGTCGGAAACGCGACCGAGCGGACGCGAAGGAAAGCCCAATGACCAGTCTACCGACGAAGAAGCAGCAGCAGCAGCAGCAGCAATTGCAGCAGGTCTCATCGGCGAGTGGTGGCTACGGGCAGCAACACCGACCTGGCGAACGGCAGAACGGCAGACACTATAGTTCAGGCAGCAATAACAAGGTACGTGGAGGCGGTAGAGGCGGCCGCCAGTATATCGGGCGTGGTCCATCAACAGCAGGATCGGCGGCCCATTACGGTGCTCCCGGCCAGCGGGACGGCTACTATCAGCAAGACACCTACAATAGTAACAATGCTCGTAATCCGCATCATCCTCATCCATCCTCCGTCCGTGGCGGCGATCCGAACTACACCAGGGGCGGCGGTGGTGGTGGTCGCGTGAATCAGTCCCAGCCGGACTCGTCGTATTTCTTTGCTAATTATCCGCCACCATCGATCTACAACCACCCCGCCGGATACATGTACGATCCGGTGATGTACTATTCGCAGTATCAGCAACAGTACCAGATGTATCCGACGGGGAACGTGATCATGACGCCGGATGGAGCGATTGACACGTCTGTACCGCCGCCGTCCTTGCTGTCGGGCATGCGACCGGGCCAGGGCATGATCCCGGTCGCTGTTCAGTCGGCTCGGCAGCAGGAACCCAAGACACCGCCGCCACCCTTACCGAGCGGACCACCCCCAAGTTCCTCACCACCGCCCCCACCACCGCCGGAATAACGTTTGTACGGAAATCCTTGTCTTGTAGTGGACTTTCAAAGGTAGTCTCCCACTTCCCCAAAAAGTAGCGCCAAATGGCTCCAGCCACTTTTCGGTTTCTCGTTTTTCTCCATCGACTTGATTGTTCGTTGCGTGGCAGACGAATTGGTGAATGATCCACTACCTGTTGGCAAGTTTTATGTCTCTAGGGAAATAGAAAAATCTGTTAGTATCTAGAGACTTAGGGTTAGCCCAGATGGCGTTTAGTATTTAGGCCTTTTTTTTTTTAGTGTTTACTAAGTAACGGATTTACGTCGAACTATTTTGTCGTCTTTTTAAACAACATGGATTATTCATTTGTACGGGCTAATATTTATTGTATACAGGCAATTATCGATTAGTGTTCTAAAGCTCCTCGACACTGAGTGTTCAGACGTCATCCCCACCATTGGGGGTCCCCCCTGGAACCACTCAAGCGCCCAGTGGTGTGGATGACGTCTGAACACTCATCGATGATTTACTGTAGTTAGTGGAAGGAATATTGTAAGTTTTTCCACAGAAACTTAAGAAACACAGGCTATTCTGAAATCTGACGGTGACAAAAAATAAGAAAAAAATTAAGAAAACGTATGGTGTCTTAAGTTCGTGCGAAAATAGTTATTCTATTTCTTCCACAGGATTATACTCTCGAACATATTCTACCTTGTACAATATTATCCGTTTCGGGCTCACTGATAGCAAAATTCGAATTATGAAATATTTTTCTATGGAGCATCCAGGCGTCAAATTGATTCTTTTTGTTCTTTGGACAAGGGGACAATAGGGAGAACCGAGAAAGCGAACGTGGCTGAACCAGACTTTCCACCATGCCTCTATCCTCTCTTCTTCTCCCCTTCCAGTTTTGTGAATGGTAGAAGTAGCAGCATGACGTACGATCTCTATCCCCCTAGTGTTACGAATTACCATATTTCGATCTTTCCACCTTTGTACCTGTAGCGCATCTCCTTAGAGAGTAGTTTCTAAATGAGTGTGTGAGCGTTCGTTTCGATGAACGAACTGGGGCGAGATCCTCGGGATCTTGGACGGAGAGGGGGACAAAGCAACGAAACATCACCACATCGAGAACGAGACGATGGTGTCGCGAGTTCTTTTTCGATTCGCGGAAAGATTACGATTTACCGACGAATGCTAATGTGATCGATAGTTTCGAATTATTGAAGTGTGTCGAAGGTCTTTCGAATCTGCAGGCACGATTTTCTTTCCGATATCCGAACATTCAGCCGACCGCAGGCTACGTCACGCGAGAATAGCTTCAAATACTGTTAGACAGAATTACAAAGATAATGCTAAACGGAAGGAAATATTGTCGTCGAGACAAATACTCGAAGCACTGCCAGATAAATAGAGAGAGTAAAGGTAAAACTATTTAGCGTTTACAGTCAAATGTGGCAGATAGATTTTTACAAACGAGTGCTCAATCAAGAGAATAGGTCCCCTTTTTCAATTTTTTTTTCTTTCGTTCCACTCCCCCTGGTAGCGAGGAGGTGGAATCCTCGTCTAGTTACTTTTCACGAAGAGACTCGTTTAGGGTGTTCTATAGATTCCTTTGCTGGCAAAGGGTTACAGAGAGATAGGGTGGTGTGCGTTTAGTCCGAAACGGTATAAACGATTCAAATAGAAAAGGACGATAACAAAAAAAAAAAAAAACACGAAAAGAAAAACTTACAAAGTTACTTAAAAAGAGCAAAAAAACAAGACACTCACACGCGAAATATGTATATCCGTATGCAGTGAAGTGAGCGTGGGAGTGCTCGGAGAATTAAGTGTAATTATGTCAATGTGAATTTCGGAAGTGTTTACGTAATTTGTAAAGGTATATATATGTAATTTCGTTGGAACTAACACACGTTGTATCACTTTTGTCAATATTTTATACGCGAATGGATATATTTATTAACGATATATTTTTCCGATCGACCCTTTGCTGTTCGACGAAAGTACAGACTCCTCTCGATTATCGTCTGATCTTGTTCTACTCGATTATTGTCCAGGCGTTATCCCCACCACTGAGTGGAGGGGAGGCCTTGAAACCTGCCGAGCGCATACTGTGTTGCCGAGGCTCGGATTTCGGGCAAATAACCAATTTACGAGGGTCTGAAGCATTTCTCCCTATACGATTATTGTCCTAGCGAAGATCAAAGTTCGGGATAATAATCGAGCAGAGTCTGTAATATAAATGCTGCTTTTCTGGTGGCCATCTTGGATCGGCCATTTTGGATCGTCCATGGTGATCGCCCGAGTGTTTTTAGAGAAGTTCAGATAGTGCTCCTTTTCGCGCCTCGGTTCGGGACATTGATGAACACGCAAAGGGTTATTATATATATATATTTTCACGATGATTTTTCTGCGTGAAAGCACACACGTCCGTCGTTGCACTGTGACTGGTTTAAACGGACGTGAAACTGGTTATTTTGGCGCGACCGCTCAACACACACAATGCGACTTCTGTACGATTGTCTTTCGATTCTTCTTCGTGTCTTCATTTTCTTACGTTCTTACGTTTGATCGATTCGAACTGAACTGTCCGGGACACGAAACAGGAAGACAATTAACATTAGAAGCATCGTGAGATCATTGTTACAATAGAAGAACACTATTTACGACTGAAGTATCGATGTTAGTATTTCAATGATGTAGTTAAAACAATTGTCGTTTAAAACAGACTATCTTTGTCATTCGACGCTTCGCCTCCGAATCGGTACACGCTCACAGAGTCGATCGTTTATTTTCCAAGATTTCAGAGAAGAATAAATATATTGTTTCTTCGAACATACGTGGCTCGAGACAGGACATCTTTTGTGTCCGTTCGGTCGATTCTACGCCGCTGCATTTATAGTAAAAAAAATTCATATCGAGTGTATACGATCGAAAGCATTTTCACGGGAATTTACGAGCTGTCGAATGTACAAACGCGAGATTTCGTTGTACCGATCAAAGGGTGGGTTATTCAGGGTTTCTTTCGTGGTCGCACGAAATAGGAAGAGAAACGGAGTGTACGATTTCGGTTCTCAAACGCTTGTTTTTTTATAACGAAACTCGACGGGAACGGATCGATCGCGTGGAAATCGACAAAGATATACAATATATATCGTCGTCCAGTTCGCAGGCGAAGCGCAACAAGTACGAGAAAAAGAGATAAAAACAAAACAGTCCATTTTCGTCGAGCAATTAGTTAAGATTCACTTAAGATTACGAAGCAATTAGTTAAGGATTCACCCGTCTGCCTAAGATTTTATTTTTTACATTCTCCTGTACGATTGTTTCGAGCTTGATCACACCGAGCGTATCATCAGTGTTTTTTTTTTTTTTTTTTTTTTTTTTTTTTTTTTAATTCTTATCAGTATACATACTTACATATATGTATATATTCACGTCTCTTTGACAATATAATATACGGGGTAAGACAAAAGCAGAGTAAAGAAACGAAGAATTAATCATTGATACAGAAAGGATAGATATATTATCTCAGGAACGTGTTGAGAGAGAATGTGTGTGAGAGAGATTAGTACGATTAATATATTATAAAAATATATATATTGCGTTTATATTTACACAAACATACGCGTGCGCGCGTACGTCATTTGTGATTGCCATTTTGTGACGGACAAACGGAAGAGAGAAAACGGAAGAAATTCTTATATATATTTTTTTTTTTTTTGGATCGTTGCCGCTAGAATTTAAATGGCGCGTCGATGTCATTGTTGTTAATTGTTATAATTATATTGTCGCAATTAGTGCTAGTAACTTTTCAACTTAGACCATTTACATATTGTGTACTGTGTGATTGCTATGATCGTTGCCTCGTTTTTAGGCCTTCCCGTTGCAGAATTCCGTACTCGTGTTCCCGTAATTTTCTTTGGTGGGAACAATCAGGAATTTTTCTTCCGGAGGGAAATGAGATCGTGTGTGTGTCTGGACGATAATAGAGGATGAACCTCGAATTAACAGGAATCCAAGTATGGAAATTTGCGCGGGAGCGAAGGAACCGAACCCCTTCGATGGCACATCTGTGTGTATACTTTTTAAGCGTTGACATCCGTGGGTGTCATTGTTCGCGCAAGGACGAGCCTAGGCGGAAATAGGTTACGAAGAATGTTTATTGTAATTGTGAAAAAAAAAAAAAGAAAAAACGACCAACGGCTATTCGAGACGTTTTGAGAGAGTTTAGAAGAATTCAGGGAGAACTGGCGCCATTGATTTAAGCCCTTAGACTGTGAACCACTCTATTGTGGTCTCTCATGTTCTTTGTTCATAATTCGTGGAACATCGAATTGTATGTATAAATGAAATTTTATAGAATGTAACAACTGTAGTTATCACGGAAGACGCCGTCGATGAATGCACAACAACGGGTGAATAGAAAAGGGCCATTTACGAATTTCTTGTTGCGCGTAAAGGCGGTGTTCGTAATCGGAGGGTTAGTTGGCGTTTCTTTTGATAAGATAAAACACACTTCTGTTTTTTTCATCGATGTGGCTGTATGAAAAACAAAACGATTTTTTAAACATTTTTATCGCGACGATCGATTTATCGCCATTGTTCTTCCTGGATCCGTTCAAAAGCAACAAACACGTAGGGCCTTTGTGTTGGCCTTAAATCGACGGCAGAGCGTTGTACAACCGTGAAAGGAATTTTTTGAGCGGGTGGGGGAGAGAAAGAAAAGAAGAATGCGTGGGGAGCAGCAGCAGGATCAACGGGCGAAAGATAATAAGCTCTAGAGATCAAACGTGATCGGCCTAGTTAGAAAGAAAAACGAAAAATATATTGTGCAATTGTGGCAGTCGTACGAAGACAAAATAATTATTAATTATGGATTACGAGTCCACGCATGTGATGATGATCCAGCGATCGATACGAATGATACGGGGATATAATAATATACGGATCGTTGAGCTACGGCAAGAGGAAAAAGCACGACAAACAAAAACAAAACAAAAAAATGCGTAACAATTAATTGCGAACACTGCATTCAGTACTGTACACAATGTATAACTCAAACCACTTGTCGCGTACGTTACCTGTTCTTTTCTTCTTTTAGTTTTCTTTCTTTTCGACACACGATAAAACGTCTGCGTTCGAATAGATTCTTCGGAAATGATTCGATTTTAAGGAGAGTTTCGGAAGTTCTCGCAACGAAGAAGGGTTGTCGGTTTGGTTCCGTTCGTTGTTTCTATTATGTATCGTTATATTTATCCGTTTTTAAGAACAATGTTGAAACAAGAGAGAACGGAAACACGGGGGACCAGCGTGAATGTAAACGAGACTAGTATGATCGAATCGTGTACAGACTCCTCTCGATTATCGTCCGGCTTCTTCTACGCGATTATTGTCCAGTCGTTATCTAATATTAGGGGGCGGGGGTGGAACCTGTCAAGCGAATACTTTGTTGTCTCGAGGCTCAGACTTTGGGTAAAAAAATGAATTTACGAGATTTGAAGCATTTCTCCCTATACGATTATTGTCCTGGCGCGGATCTGAGTTCGGGACGATAATCAAGAGCAGTCTGTATAACCATTTAGATATGGTCCGAGGCCCCTGGGTAACGCAGGCGGTTTACTGTGAAATTAGACTGTTTGTAGATCGTATTATATATACACATATATATATATATAAATTACAGGGATCGTACGCGTCACGTGTTCGACCAAGAAAAAAAAAGAAATAAGCATCGCAAATAAACGTTCTGTGGAAACGAAAAGTACCTTAGTGATTATTTTGTCTTTTTCTTAACACAACACCATATATATATATATATACATACATATATGCATATTATATATATATATACATAAATGAATGTTAAATATACATAAACAGAACAATGTAATATGTGTGTATATATATATATATAATATATATATATATATAATATCGCACACCATATGGCCGCATCTTTTTTGTGTACTAACATTATATATATATATATATATATACATATATCACAGCCATCTATATGTATATTACGAGTATATATATATCATTGTGTAAAAGTCTATATCCATTTTATATATATATGCAGATATTATACATAATCGCCGTTGATTAGCAAGACGGTGATTAAGTTTCATACACATGTTATTTGATTTGCTTGGTGGAGGGTACCTACCGATCGTTTTCCATTGTTATTGTTCAACATCGACGCTATTGTTGTTATTATTGTTGTTGTTGTTTGTCATGTGTGTGTGCGTGCGTGCGTGTGTGATTTTGCATGAGCATGCGCCCCGCGGTTGTAGCAGGCTTTTTCCATTGTGTCGCGTGCATGCGTACACAGAGTTCTCTTTTTTTTTTTTTTAAGGACACGCTTCATTGCGTCTCATTCGACCTACTTTTTACGACAGTAGCTACTCTGGTACCGAAAGGAATCTGGAGATGGTTACAGTTAACCCGAATCTTTTGGGGCCACAAATCGTTCGATTTCACCTAGAGACAAAACGCTAAAAAGATTCATTTTCTTTTAACAAATTCCTTTTCAGGATCGGTACATATTCATATTCATTGAACCGATTCATACAGATTCATTTGGATTCATGGTCTAAGGGTGTAATTCTTGCGATTCCATCGAAATCCCTCGGAAATTAATCGTACCGAATACTCAACACAGTAGCGGACATAAAAGGTACCATTTTTTCGATTTATTTTCATTTTTTAACATCAACTTTAAACTTTGGGATATGTTTATTATATATATATATGTATTCTGATAAAGAATTAAAAGCTGTATAAAACCCAGTATAGTAAGGTTTTAAGTTGATTTTAGGAAATAATAAAAAGAATAAAATAATGGTACCTTTTTTGTCCGCTACTGTATATAGCGTATCACGAATATTGGTTTCACTCATTAAGCTTTAACTCGGGTACAGAGGCATAAATATACCGGATATGTTCATTCTACATAATTTTAAGAAACAAGAATAGGACCTGTTTAATAGAAGAAAGGAAACACAGCAAGCACTTCGATGTCCGCGATGACCAGACCGATATTTTCAACCGATCGACCGTCAGACCGGCCAATTTTCTCAGAGAGAACGCGTGCAGTAAATCGATCTGAAAACAGACACCAGTGTATATATATATAATTGCTGAGCCGCTAATCACAAATAGCTAAACTAACTTAACGTTAACCCTCGAAAATTACACCCCACCTCAGCATATATAAACGCCACACTAGTGCGAATTAAAATTCTGAATTTCTTATGACTAAGAACTCGAAGAGAATAAAAGCAGAATTGAACTCACAACATATTCTTTAAGGTAAAGGTTCCTCGGAAATTCCGTGATACAATAATTCCAAAATAGAGAAATCATTTTTTAATAGGAAAATTTGTTACAGTTATGCTAGTTTCTTCAGAGTGAAATTTCCCCTGAAATTCAAGTATAATAATTGCAATAATTTTTCGACTATGAAAATTTCTTCCACCAATGCTGACCAGCAGAGTTGAGTAAAATGTAATCTAATTACAAAATCCATTGTAATTAACTGTACTAAATTTACAATAAAAATTACAATGTAATTGTAATTGCAATGTACATTTTGTAATTAGATTACATTGTTCCCAACTCTGCTGGCCAGATAGAATGTTACAATGTTTCGAATGCAAATTCGCGCCAGTGTGGTGTCTGAGGATGAAATTACGCATGTAGGAATTTGTAAAGGAACGAAGTACCACAGTTCTGTTTTGTGATTTTCAGGAGAAGCACTCGTCCAGCCACCACAAAAGCTCGAGCAAGATGTCGCAGTCCCAGCAGTCCCACGCGACGTAGTACACGGACTGAAGAGGATGTCGGTAAAGAAAACGAAAACAAAGAAAAAATAGCTCCCGATACGACTGACACACCGTCCGCCCGGAAAGAAAGGAGTTCACAAACCTTGCTTCAATGCTTTCGTTCGTCCCTCAACGAGGGACGTCGGAGACATCGAGGAGGAATGCCAGCTTTCATCGTTGTGTTGTGTCCCCGTTTTACCGTACGAATCGATCGATCGATCGATCGATCGAGTACACACACACACACACAACACGGATATATCTCTTTCCCAAATGGGAGATCGCTCGAGGCGGCCTCTCCTCCTCCACGCGGCGATGGGGAAAGTTCCGGCGGCCATTTTGGTTCCGCGTGCGTCATCGGGGAGAGCCCAACGAGACGAAGATATCCGACGTGGGGAAACGCAGCGATGCTTGGCGCGTTTTACTTGTTGGCCAAAGGTTAATTCCGTAAAAAGCAAAACAAACATCGATCAGCGAACAAATGCTTTTGTTTTCCCTTCTTCGACTAGGCAAAGAGAGAAACGCGACGAGAACGATGAATGGAGAAATAAATCATTCTTACTCAGGTGACAAATTAGGTATCCGCGATGATAAGTTAAGAGGAAAGCAAACTTCACAAACAAACACATACACACACACACACACACACACACACACACACACGTACACATTTCGTCCTCGGTCATTGAATTACAACGACTGATCTATGCCCCCTAAAACCGTTTCCTACGCATCTTCATTATCTGTAACATAATGCGTCACATGAACTTTGTTTTACTTTTTTTTTTTTTTTTCGAGACAATATTGAGAGGACTCGTCGAGAGTGTATTAACGTATAGCACTTGGGATCGTTCGAAGTTCGATTGTTGTTCTTGAGAAGCATAGATATACCGACAGAATGTTGTTTGCCACGATCACTGGAGGTTTCTCAGGGATCGATTTATTATCAGTTATTATGGTACGACAGGAGGAACAATGGTTTTCCATTCAATGTCGAATTTTATATCGAACTTCCGGTTCCTGGTCCCGAGGGCCCCTTACTTTATCAACCTCAATAGACCCCAACCCCCCTTCTTTTTTTGTATTTGTTATTACGTTTAACTGCCACACAGTTTTTTCCGCATCGAGGACAACAAGAGACAATGCGTCGCCATTTTCACGGCTATTACCCTGAGGACACAGAGGTTACTGTTATTTTTATCGTACAACTTTTAGCCCCGTTTTTTCCGTTTTTCTTACGTTCATTGTGCATTTAATCTTTTTTTTTTTTTTGATACTCCATTATTTTTCTTTTCTTCAATCGATCGAGCATCATACAGAAATTTATCATGTATTTTAGGATCGCGTTTGATTTCGATGAAAGTACACGATGTGCCACTGTTCCCACTATTTAATAGCGTCTTATGGTCTCGATTAAACGAATCTTCGCGTAATAGAGCGATTAAAAACGAAAAGGAAAACGCTCGTAAACGGTGTCCCTGATGAACGAGTCGTTCGCCGCGCGAGGGCGATCAGCATGCACACAGAGAAAACAAAAAAAAAATACAGACCGAAAAATGATATATATAAAACGGAAAGAACAACACCACACGGTCCACATGTCCAATGATATTTATTCGTGCCGTTTTGTTATGTAAATAGCCGGAGAAACTGCATAATATAGTAAGTAATTCGAATTATACTATCGCCATTTAGTATAAAGGACTATAGATAAAATAATTAATATTATTGTCAGACTGTAAATAAAATTATTTTGTATGCCAAAATAAACCAAATGAAATGACTCGTTACACAAACACACACGCACGCAACGGCCACATACAGAATATCGTGTCACAGAGAACAAATCTACACAAACCGAAAATGAGACATTAAAAACGAAACAGAAAATGTTACGACTCGAAAGCACATCAAACACACGCGTACGAGAACACAGAATGGAGGTAGTACGTAATGTCACAAGGTATGCGAAAATTGGGGTATATTATACACATACACAAACACACACACACACAAGTAAACGACTTACGAAGCATGCGCATTAGTTAGCCACGGTTTAAATACTCGATTCTGTTCTGTCCGTAGGTATTATTTTTTAAGGAACGCAACGGAAGAAAAACAAACAATTGATAATCAGAATCATCCCGTGTATTGCGAAACGGCCGTGCGTACTGTATACCCGGAGAAACAAACAAGATCGTTTGTTGCCGTTTCCGAAGAACCATGCGCTTTCCGTACACCTCCCTCCCCCCTTCGAGAATTTGTTGCGTTTGAACGGAGGAGCCCCGGTGAACGAACCACGGGAACGTGCTCTCCGTTCGATTATTAATAATATTACTATTAAAGTATCGATAACATTAATCACGATAATTATAATAAACACCACATTTACACAGACACATACGTACACTAACGTGCTAACTTTGCTTCCGCTAGGGGAAAAAATGGCGCAGGAGAAGAGCCTCCTACCAGTTTGTTTCGAAAGTTTCTGAAATTTATGTGCCAAATTAACATTCATTTTAACATTTATTTCAGTACTTGAATTAAATTTACCATCTGGTAGGAAGTCCTTACGCCACATTTTTCCCTAACGGAAGTAGAGTTTGCTCGCGAGGATGTACACACGCAATGATAATGGTAAAACACTAAGAAACACGAGAGGTACGGTGAAAAATCGCCCGTGTATCGTTCGCGACAGTTTCGAACGAACTGATTCACCCGACCATACACACACACACAAACATTAATAGCCATCGTTCTTCTTCGTCCATATGTTCTTCTTTCTGTGCGTACTATCCGTGGGTCGCGCGCCCTCCCCCACACGCAGTTGTTTCGATGGTAAAAAGAACCACGGAATGAAAAAGGATAAAGGAAAAGTAACACGCACGGAGGAAAGATGAAAAATGTAATTTATCGATTGAATTCGTAAGATCGAATTGTAAACCTTAGTAAAAATCATGGATTCGTCGAGAGAAAGAAAAAATCGACTGTATGTCAGAAACAATGCCTTTGACGAGTTCGTTCAACGAAAAAGAAAAAAAAAAATGGTACGTTAGCAATAAATGGTATCCAAGCGCGACTCGGCTCGATAAAATCGCTCGTTCGGGGATAATATTCAGCCAGGGATATTTTTCATTCTTGTTAGACGGTGGATAGATCGTTTGGGGGGGGGGAGAGAGCCGACGAGCCTATTTTATCGTGCCGACTTATTAGTGTATTTTCGTATGTCCCCCGTGGCCGAGAGAGAGAAAGAGGGAGTATAACCTTTTGAGATGTTCCGTTTAGAAGGGACACAAGCACGCCCGTTTATAAGTGCACACAAAAAGCACATATATACAGACACATCCTTGTACGACACACGATCATCGAACATTCCTCTACGTTTTTCTCTGTGTATGTTTCTCTCTCTCTTCGTGCTTTTTTTTTTTTTTATCGTTCGAGAGAAGAAACAACACGCGAGAATAGAGAGAGAGGATCGTATATAGCAACCCTTTCTTTAGCGTCCTCTTGGCTGTGCGGTACAAACGACGTTTATTGCTAATTGTTTTCTTCTTATTTTTTTTTTTTTTTGTTTCTTCAGTCAACGGATAGATGCGTAAATAATCGAAATATTATAGAAACACCGTTGTTTCAAACACAATTCTCACCGGGGGTTCACGCGACGACCACGGGAGAACGAGAATTTTCGGTGAATGGATCGGACGACGAGAGTTATCAATTGACAGCGTGTTTTATTGTCGCGTAAATACACGCGTATAATAATGTCCTCGACCGAAGAACGAAACGGACGTGCTCCCTTGAGATCGTTCAGAGAGAAATTTAATCGTATTCTTCGAGAGAAAAGTAAATCGGGGGAGATGTGTGTAGTATTGATGTGTTTCTTTTTTTTTTTTTTAAGAGAGCCTCTTCCGTTTTTTTCTTCGGCAACGAAAGAGAATTAATAAAAATATGTACACCAGGCTCGAGCGAGAGACAAGAGTTTTCCTTTTTTTTTTTTAATTTTTTTTTTTTAAATGCGAACGAGAGAGTTAATGTGAACCGTGTCCGCGATGTAAATAAATTTATTCTTAAGGACTTAAAACTGAAGCGACGATTCGTGAAGAGTGTATACTTATTATTATTATTAATTATTATTATCGTTTGCAAGTCGTGCATTTGTATTTCACGCGTATGCCCAACGAGCTGCGATATCGTGGATACATGCTCGTCCCCCCGGAAGTCCTCAGTCGCGGGAAAGGATCGCTCGAATTAAGAATTGTATTGTCGTTCGTCCGCGATGTAGAGGTTCAAAAGACGAAATTTCACGTGAAAAAAAAAAAAGAAAAAGACGGATGAACGTGAATCGTGTGAGACGTTTTCCAATGTTTCGCCTCGAGACTAAACTATTCTTTCTTTGTTCTCCTCTTTGGATTCAGGGGGTGGGCCTGGTACACCTCTCTTGTTCGCCGATCATGAGCGGGATCGTTGTATATATATTTTGATTTTTAGAGAGATATTGAAAAATGGAACAAAAGAGTATTGAAAATCGACGCGGTAAACCTTTCCTCGGTTCTTCACGACTGACGATCTTCGGGTGATCCCGAGCTGAGCTTGCCTAGTTCCAGGCGGCGTTAACAAAGTTATCCTCAATAAAGAGAGAAGCAAAAGAATGACTAAAAAAAAAGAAACATCTCGACTCCTGTTATTTTTCACCCTTTGGCGTTCGCGGTCTCCACGATCTTGGATTTCTTATTTATATTGTAAATAACCCTCATTCCCCCCTTTTTTAAAACGATTTTTACAACGATTCTTTAGTTTTATAAACAGTAGAAATTTCAGAAATAAAAATGCTCTTTCAAGATCATTGTTTTCATAGATATTTTATATAGTGTTATATTATTATATTGGTTTTAACAGATACTGTGCCACATTTTCTTGATATTACATTGTTTATCATATCGCATTACGTAATGTTGATTACTGGAGATTTAAATGAAATGTGGAAACAAAGAAATGATTTTATTCTTTTTTGGTTAATTATCTAAAATGAATCTTATATTTCTTATCGGTAATATTTATATTGCAAAAATAATTATAGCGTAGACTCGTTGCGTTCGAAATGTATTGTGACATTCATAAGAGCATTTTGGATTAACATTCAGGTGCAAATACGAGTATAATCAGTGATGCCAGAATCGTGGAACTTGGTGTAATGAGTTGCATATTTATATACGTATTATATATTATATATGACGTTCGTTCCCAATCACGGTGATTTTTCACAGTGATTCGTGATTTCTCGTGATCGTTTCTGATTGGTGGAGAAACCTAACAGTTCTTTACACGCGACACATAATCTGTATATTTTATATTAACGACATCAAAACAAACATTCGAGTTATATCGTATAAATAAAGTGAAGGAATAATTAGAAACAATGAAGAATAATGAATAAATTAATGATTATACATTATAATCTACCTGTTACTTAGCAAATCATTCTTTTAGAATTTCTAGTTTTTTCTACTGATTTTTACAAACACAAATAGTAATGTAATTCATCGTAAAATCATCGTGAGGTGAGTACGTGGGGTCACAGAACCCCTGCAGGAGGCGCCAGAGACATCGCAGAATAACTGGCGCCGAATGTTAACGTATCTTAAAGATTTCTATCTCAAAAAATTGCGCCCAATTTGCTCCCTCCGAATCTCAAATTATTCCTGACGACTTAATGTGTAGACCCAATACTGCAGAACACCAGGATTAGTACAATTATTTATGCTACTATTAACGTTGACCTCATACGGAGAGGCAACCCTCACAAAAACAGATTTGGATTGCATTTACACGGCTGAACGGGCATCATTTTTCTTCGTCACGCATTAGATTCGAAGTTTAAAGAACTTAGATTAGTACTCTCTAGCAGCTCGGAATCAGTAATTACAAGAATATTGTTAAATTCACAACTGTTTGCTACGATTGACAGTATATCCCGTCATGCATACCCCGTTTTGTTCACTTCAGACAGCTGTTACACCGTTATACGGATAGCTTCCGTCTAGATAAAGCACTCAATTTGTAGCTTAAAAAACGTAGATTAATCCTCTCTCATTAACAATAACAATAACCGACCAGAACACTGTTAAATTCGCATTTAATTGTTGAATACCACTATTTTTTCGACCGGTGGCGCCACCCGTAGCAATTCGCTCAAACTGCTAGCTAAATCATACCGACAGGTGAGTGAAAATTTCTAGTCATGGAAAAATGCAAATATCTCAGTAATTAAGCACTTAATATGAACGTCATTAGTCTCAAATTGTTCCTCAGGACTTAATTCATCGATCCAACGGTGCAGAATCCCTGAATTAGTAAAATTAGTTATGCCTGTATTACCTTAGCCCCTTATGGGGCGACAACTCTAATTGCAACATATTACGATCGCATTTACACCGCTAAACAGGCATGATTCTTCTTCGTTTTACATTAGATACAACGTTTAAAGAACGTAGATTCGTACTCTCTAGCAGCCGGGAACCAGTAATTACAAAAACATTGTTAAAATCACATTTATTTGCAACGGTTGACGCTGTATATCATCACGCGTACCCCGGTTAGTTTACTTTGGACAACTCTTCCAACGTTATGCTGACAGTTACCGCCTTGACAAAGCACTCAATTTGTAGCTGAAAGAACGTAGATTAATCTTCTGTCATTGAAAATAACAATAAACGACCAGAACACTGTTAAAATCGCATTTAATTGTTGAATACCACTATTTTTCGACTCGTGGCGCCACCCGTGGCGAATCGTTGAAACTGCTAGCCAATTATAGGCTAGCAGTTTCCGCGATTCGCCACGGGTGGCGCCACGGATCAAAACAAAAGTGGTATTCAATAATTAAATGCGATTTTAACAGCGTTCTGGTCGTTTATTGATATTTTCAATGACAGAGGATCAATCTACGTTTCTTAAGCTTCAAACTGAATGCTTGATCAAGACGCAATCTGTCCATATAACGTTGGAAGAGCTATTCAAAGTGAACTAACCGAGGTACGCATGACGAGCTACAGTGTCAACCGTTGCAAACAAATGCGATTTTAACAATGTTCTTGTAATTATTGGTTTTCAGCCGTTAGAGAATAGTAATCTACGTTCTTTATACGTTGTATATAATCTAAAACAAAGAAGAATCATGCCCGTTTAGCGGTATAAATGCGATTGAAATCTATTGCAATTAGAGTTGCCGCCCTATAAGGGGCTACGGTAATACAGGCATAACTAATTTTACTAATTCAGGGTTTCTGCACTATTGGGTCGATGCATTAAGTCCTGAGGAACAATTTGAGACTAACGACGTTCATATTCAGTGCTTATTTACTGAGATATTTGCATTTTTCCATGACTAGAAATTTTCACTCACCTGTCGGTATAATTTGGCTAGCAGTTTGAGCGAATTGCCACGGGTGGCGCCACCGGTCAAAAAGATAGTGGTACTCCGCGATTAAATGCGATTTTAACATTGTTCTGGTCGTTTATTGTTATTTTCAATGAGAGGGGATTAATCTACGTTCTTTCAGCTACAAATCGAGTGCTTTACTTAGACGAAAGCTACCCGTATAACGGTGTAAGAACTGTCCAAAGTGAACTAACACGGGTTACACATGACGAGATACAGTGTCAACCGTTGCAAA